TTTAAAAATCTCTAAAACTGAATAATTTTATTATCTCGTTATACAATTTATTATTATTATTATTATTATTATTATTATTATTATTATTATTGTTTTATTATTGTGTTATACTAATTTTTATATTATTATTATTATTATTATTATTATTATTATTATTTATTATTATTAATTAGTCGATGAATTTGTTTGAAAATATTTTCTCGAATTTCTGGAGACAAAATAGAAGGGTTTTAAATTTCAAGAAAGTAAATCTCGGTTTGCGTTATTCTTTTCAGTTTAGATAAGGAAGTTCAATTATTAGCCTGTTTCCTCCCTACCAATTATTTGCCAGACACTTTGTACGCAATAAGAATGAAAAGAAACAATAATGAAAGATAATTTGCATCATTTAGTGATAAACGAATATTTAGATTTTTATTTTTTGCTTTTTTTAATATTATTATTCTCAAAATTAGGAAAAAAAAAATTTCCCCTAATTTTATTTTATTTGCACAAAAAAAAATTTTTTTTTATTCTCTTCAGTTTTTTTATATATATAAAAATAAATAAATTATTATAGTCGCATGATTATCTCTAATTATAATTTTTAGTATTTTATTGGGAATTTTTTATGGATGAATTTTTATTTTTCAAATTTTTAATTAATAAAATTTTTAAGACGCCGAATTTTTATTTGTCCGAAATTAGAAATGACCGCAACAAACAATCGACAGAAAGATTTCGGCGTAATTTTTTTAAAATTGACCAATCACGATTTTCTTGATAATTTCTAATTGGTCAATTTTGAAAAATTGCGCCGAAATATTTCTGTCGATTGTTTGTTTCGGTCATTTCTAATTTCGGACAATTGAAAATTCGGCGTCTTAAAAATTCTATCAATTAAAAATTTGTAAAAATAAAAATTTTTCCAAACAAATATTCGATAGCTAAAAATGTTGTTATATAAAAATTCGTATAAAAAGAAAATCTTCCAAATTTTTAATTCGAAAATTCGTCTAAAAAAATTATTTCTAATAAATAATAAATAATAAATAGAAAAAAATATTTTTTAAAAATTTGAATCATTAAATTTTAGTCACAAAAAAAAATTCTCGAAAATAAAAAATTCAGGCGAATTGAAATTAATTAGATTATACATATTATAAAACATAATAAAACATGTTTCGGGTCAAATTTTATGACTGCACGAGTTTAGAAGGAAATTACTCGAAGAAAATATGCTCTCACTCTCTCTCGAATAATTAAGATTGCCACCCTGCAAGTTTCCCTGTTATATCAACCTTGACCCCTTAATACAAATTTCTATTATTTCGTACAATTTGGTCATCACCCTTAATGGTTGTTTCGACTAACATCATTTATCATTAAACGAGCGAGTCGAACGTTGAATAATACATTTTCCTTGAATAAAGAATTAAAAAGTGACTTCAATAAAAATAATAATAATAATAATAATAATAATAATAATTGAACCAAAAATTAAAAAAGAAAAAATTTTAAAAAGAAAGAATTAAAAAAAAAATTTTTTTCTTTTAATTAATAATAATATAAGTATTAAATATGATATTTCAACTATGATTTTGTGTCATAACCAGGACGAGCTTACAATCGATTTCCTCCCACCTTTTCATAGACTTTTTTTATCTGACCACATTATGACCATTGTGTATAAATTCTTGCCGAGACTATTTCAATCGTGGATAATATATTTTTTTTTCTTTCATTGTCATTAGCGAATTTATTATTTTTATTATTTATATTATTTCTCTCTATATTTAATTAATATTATTATAGCGGTATCATTAGTGATGAAGCAAATCTAATTTTCCAACTAATTATTAACATAATAATTTTATTACGTGGGTAATTAGAATATAATAATAATAATATTATTATTATTATTATTATTATTATTAAATAATAATATAATTATAATGAAAAATAGTTTTTTTCCCGGTAATAGTAATTGTAAAATAGTACTATTCATAATAATAATATAATTATTTTTATTAATAGTCAATTTAAATTATTTATTTTAATTAGAAAGTTTTAATAAATTTTTAATTGATATTGATTAATAATTTTATGTCAAATTTCAAAAAAAAAAAATTATGTAGAAAAATTACAAATTATTACAAATAAAAAGAAATAAAAAAAATGTTTTTTAAATTTTATGTAAATAATAAAAAAAAATTTTTTCAATGTAAAAAAATGAAATTAAAGAAAAATTATAAATAATTAAAATAACAAAAATAAAAACATCGAATGTTTGTTCTAACAATGAGCACCCACAACCAATATTTCCCCATGCATAGTCTTTTCAAGTTTTCGAACAATTTTTTATCACGTTTTTTTTTAATTTAATTCGTCTCAGTAGCCGTCCATTTTTACAAATATCTCGTATATTCAAATTAAATTATTTTTAATAATAATTTTAATAATAAAAAAAAATTATTTTATTTTAATAATAATATTATCAAAAGTTTGAGAAAATTGTTCAATTTTTCCAAAGAAAAAAGAAAATTCGAGAGGAAGAAAAAAACAAATTAAGTTTTTCGTTTTCTTGTTCATTTTTTGTGGAAATTATATAAAAATATTCTATTTATGGAATTCACAAAGCAATTTTTTTATTACATTCTGTGAGCGATTTTGAAGAAAGCATTTATGTAGGCAACGTCACGAAGTATTTGCACTGCGAAAAAAAAAGAAAAAAAAATTCTGAAGCTTTATGGCAGCTTTTTATAGAATTAGTCCTGACTATAACTCAAGCTAGAGTAATGGCACTTTCGGTAGGAAGCAATAAGACACTAAAAAATAAAAAAAATAAAATAAAAAAAAAGTAAAAGTAAATTTTACCTCAGGACTTGAATCACCTTCAAGGGGAAAAAAATATCGATGAAAGGATTTTAGTTTTAAGTATCTTCTGCACGTTCAATGGAAAAAAACTTCTTTTTTTTATATAATATTTATTTTTTTTAATTCTCTCAAAGAATCAATGGGGAAAAAAAATTGAAATTAAATTGAAAAGAATTTAAAGAGTTTTTTTTCGAAAAATTGATATGAAAGATCAATTAATTTTTTATTTTTTTTTTATTTTAATTTTATTTTTATATAGAATCGAAAAATTTGTGAAATATTAATCAATATCTAAGGAAAGGTACAATTTTCTAAATATATTACATTATATTATAATATGAAGCTTGTAAATCATTTTCACGATCAAATTATATATAAAGTATATTATATAAATTATGTTCGTAAACACAGAATTGTACACCATATTCTGAATTATGATACATAATATATAATAAATATTATATTAAATTATTAATTATAAATAATTAATATTATATATAATAGATTCCGTTAGCAGATTTGGTACGAATTTTTCGATTTTTCCTGATTTTTTTTTTAATTCATGTAAATTTTAATAAAATTCTTCGTAAATTCAATTATTTGAAATATTTTTTAATTAAAAATTCGCTAAAATTCAAATTATTTCCTAAAAAGGAAAAAAAGTTTTTTTAAAAAAAAATCTTCAATTCAAATTTAGAAAATTAGGAATAAAATTATTATGTCACGTTTTGTTTATTTTTAAGAAGGGAAAAAAATTATTTTGTTATTTATAAGTTTTTCTTCTTAAAGGAAAATGTTAATTGTTAATTAATTGAGATACTCCGGGTAGTATTAAATTTACCTTGAGGAAGCTTGCATTTCTAAATACATTTGACAAACCAAACTAGTAGAACGACGGAAAACATGAGTTGTTCCGACCGCTCGACGACGGTTTTCTCTAATGGTCCTTAATGGAACCAGTATGCTTCAAACTAATCGAATTAAATACTCAAGATCTAGAAGTTAATATTATAATAAACATCACTCAAAATCAGAAAAAACCAAAAAATTCACTTTTACCAAAATACAATTCACTACTAATTTTGAAGAGAATTTTTTAAATCTTTTTTTCCATCAAAAAATATCATTTAATTATAATTTATAATTATGTAAAAATAACAAACTAAAAAAGTTTTTCCAATATAAAAAAATTAACAAGAAAAATTATAAATAATTAAAATAACAAAAATAAAAACATTGAATATTAGTTCTACAAGTACTCACAACCAATATTTCCCCATGCATAATCTTTTCAAGTTTTCGAACAATTTTTTATCACGTCTTTTTTTTTAATTCGTCTCAATTCAACAACAACGTAATACCACATATTTATTTATATATAAATTTTTTTATTTTATTAATTTAATTTTTGTTCAAAAAATAAAAATCAACAAAATATTGTTTGAATTCTTCTACGTCAAAAATTCAATCAATATAAAAATTTAATTTGGATTTATCCACCGCTGAGTAAGTCTTTTTATGCGATTTCTTCTCAAATAGCAGTTGAAATGAATTTTCTAGATATTGAGAGTGAAATATTGGATTAAAATCGAATCGTCAATTTCGTTTCTGTTCGAAGGATAGGGATACATATATATTATTGAATCTATGATAAAAATTTTTATAATAAATGCTTTCTTCAAATATTGTTCGCGCAATTGCCTTAGGAAACTTTTCATTTATATTTGCCATTTCTATAAATAATATATCTACAACTTTTGTCAATTTTCAAAAGTTTTTTCAAAATTAACAAAATCAATTTCTTTTATTAATTTTTAATTTTAATCTAATTATAAATAAAATAGTAATTAAATTGACTTGAAATTATAATTTAAAAATCAAATAAAATTCAAGACAAGAGCGATAAAAATATAGACAATCAAAATTCAGGAGAGAGAGAAAGAGAGATATTGATCTGTCTCGAGGGGGACGCGTTAAAAATAAATAAATCCACAACTCGCGAAACTGATGCCGATGATAAGTTGTGTGTCTATGAGGGAAACTAAATTTAGATAACTTTAGACACACGAATGCGAATTTAATTTTATCTAGATTTTCATTTCAGCACAATTTTTTTTTAATCGTTTCATAATTTTTTTTTTCAGCATTTGTTGCGAGATTTCGGGATCGGAGCCGAGAATGAAGATCACATGAATAATGAAATGAATAAAGAAGAAAAAAGAATTAAGAGTCCGTCAAAAAAAAGGGAAATTTAGAAAAAAAAATTTATCCAGCCAAAGGGAAAAGGAGGAATGGGCCCTTGGGCCTTTGGTGTACCAATTGTCCTAGTATCATGTGTGGGCCTTCTTCTTAATGCCTACATTCTTTTGGTTGTTCTTGGACTCGGCAAACAGGTGATAATTAATTTTTTCCCCCTCCAAGGACATGAATTTTTGATTAAAATTTTCAAGTTTCAAAAGAAAAAGCACCCACAACCAATATTTCCCCATAGTCTTTTCAAGTTTTCCAAAAATCCTTTTTTTAATTCAATTTGTTCCAGTAGCCGTTCATTTTTACAAATATCTCGTATATTCAAATTACTTTTCAACAATTTTTTATTCTTTTTGGCATGCAATGTATTTATTGGTTTAAGTAAACAAATAAAAGAAAATAATATTTTTATAAATTTTATTTTTAAAATTAAAGTGGACGGAAACTGGGACAACCACACGGTTTAAGATAAGATTTAAAAAATTTTTGAATAAAATAACAAAAAAAATATATATATAAAAAATAAGAAAGTAAAAAAAAGGTTTTTTAATTTAAAAAAAGAAATTAAAACGAATGTCGGTTCTAAAATGGGCACCCACAACCAATATTTTCCCATAGTCTTTTCTAGTTTTCCAAAATTCTTTTTTTTTATCACTTCTCTTCTTATTTTGTCTATTCAAGATAGTAATTTACGAGTGATAAAATCGTCGAGAAATGATTTTTTAAAATTCTTTTCTCGATTCAGATCCATCAGCAGCAAACTGCAAACACCTTGCTGTTAATTCATCTCGGAGCAGTTGAGGCTGCCGTTTGCCTTGTGCTCCTAATATTCAGTACTGGTTCCTGGCCATTTGCTGGTACTTGGTGCGTTATACACGGGTTTCTTTTGGCTCTCCTCCATCCAGTTGCCCTTTGGACTGTAACCGGTCTAAATTGTGAAAGGTATTTCTCAATTATTACAATTATTTAAATAAAACTTATTGTTATACATAAAAAAAAATTTATTCACTAAAAAAAATCAGATTAGCAAAATATTTTTGAAATATTACGCAACGAATCTACTTTTGAATAACTAATAAATTAACTATATATTTTTTTGGCGAGAGCCCAATAAGAGTTGTACATAAATTTATTTTTATAAAGGTATTATGCTATCGCAGCGCCATTACACTATGCAGCATTAGTTTCACCACGAAGAGTAATATTTGGATTAGCAGCATCGTGGACAGGATCATTGCTACTCTGTTTACCACCAATTTCCGGTTTAGCACCACCATATAAATATATTCCTGGTTTAGGATGTTGTGCTCCTGATTTTGGTAACGATAATTGGGGATCATCGGCTGCTGTTTATGGTGTTGCTTATGCTTTTTTAGGTTTAGCATTGCCGGCAGTATTGGTGACTGTTTGTAATTTACGTGTACTTGGAATAGCACGTTATCATCGTCATCGTATTGCAAGTGCAATTTACGAGGTGACACTAAGTGCACAAGTCACAATTACACATCAACGGAATCCATTTTTTATTCCTTCTATAACGTCACCAAACGCTGGCGGTGGTCCACCACGTTTTCACAGTGCCGCTAGTACGGTAAAAGAAAAAAATTATTCTCTTATCAAAATGAAAATTAAGAGTTTCAGTTTTAGAAATTAAGGAAATATTTTTCCTTTTTCAGGTGATGCAACTGGTTGGTTCTCTTTATCTGTTGTACTTTCCTTATTGTGGATTGATCCTGTGGGAGGTGTGCTGTGCCATTGGAGTTGGGGGAACTCAACAGCGTCTGCATGCGCATCCTCGTTTTGCGTCCTTGGCCTCACTTCTTCTTGCCTGTTCACCACCCGTAAACGGACTCCTCTATGGTCTTAAATCACGAACCTTGCGACGGTCCGTGCAAAACTATTGGCGTAAAAAGGCTACTAAATCCGAATTACAGCAGGTATGAATCTTATAATTCTGATTTTAATATTTTTTAAAGGTCCACTACTGAAGATCAGAAATCCGATTCATAAAAACCGCGAACCTTGAAAATTAATTACAGGCGTGGTTATATGTATGCTTTAATTTTTTTTTTTTGTTGAGCAAACATCCCCTATCGATTGAATTCTAATTGCAGGAAATTCAGGCGCGAACACCAAGCGCTACTGGTTCAAGGAGGCCTTCCGGAAATGGACAAGCCTCCTTCTTCCCTTTTCCGCCGTTGCAACGACGCCTCAGCGAAGCACTATTAGTACTTGGTTCCTGTAGAACGGGAAATATATTCGATGAGAGCAATGTACGAAATTCATTTCATCGCAGTAGATTACAAACTGCGGCGTCATGTAATACTCTTAGAGTGCCAAATACCGAATTAGGTAAAGAATTTTGAATTAAGATTTTCAAAATTTTTAATTTAAAATTAAAAATTTAAATTCTTTAGGAGGATCTACAAAACCAGTGAGAACGAGTGCAAGTACAGCGAGTCTACAGCTTACATCACGTTTTTGTAACGATTTTGATGGAAGCGAAAGTATTGAAAATGATGGTGGGTGCTCTATAACTGATACTCCAAATCAAAGTCCTAGGATTCTCATAACTCGAGCTTGCAGCGAAGAGAGTCAGGGCTATGAAAGTCCATTGCTTAAGAAAACAATAACAACAGCTGCTTCTGCCCCAGTATCGCAGATTTGCGAAAGTATATAAAGTCCAAAAATTTGTTGTCAATTCATCAATTTTATTTATTCATTTAGTAATTTTTTTCTTTCTCTCCCTACTTTTTCTTGACTCTTTTCTTGTTATTTTTATAAATAGAATCATTTGCGCAAACATTCGTGATGTTAAGCTCTGTTTTGAGAAAAATTATGTTTTTTTTTTTTTGAAGTATTTTCTAATGAAAAATTTATTTTTCTGTTCCTAAAAAGAGAGACGCTGGAGACAAAGAAGTACAGGAAGTGATAGTAGCACAGGAAGTAGTGATGCAAGTGTTTGGACCACAGGAGTAATGCAAAAATCATCATCAAGGGGTAAAAATTCAATGGACGCCTGGCCAATTGGTCGAAGATTTGTTCGGGTTAAAACATTGGAGGAGGGTGTTATTTTTATAGGTAATCGACAACTTGAACGAAGTGAAAGCAGTGATAATACGGAAAATACAGCGACAACTACAACTTCAACTCTTCCCAGAACATTGGTATAAAAATTTTTGTTTCCATTTTTAATAATTAATTGCAGTTCTTTTAATTTTAGAAAATCGGATTTAGATTTTAGAATCGGATTTTAATTCGATTTTTTCCCCCCTTCTTTTAAATACTGATTTTACTAATCAAAATTTTCCTCTAGGTCACTAAAAAAAAAACCATTTTACCATCTTAAAAAAAAAAACAAGTTTTAATCTCAAAATCACAAAACATCCACTTTACAGAAAACAATGAATTCATCTAACAACGAAGGGACCTGTTACAGGAAAAAGAACGACAACAAGAAGCAATGGATTCAAAGGCGAAAAAATCGAATAATTCACAAGAGGAAAGTGAGAGTGACACAAGTTGGAGTAGTTCGGAAGAAGTCAATGAAAAAAAGGCGAACCTTATAGCTTTAGAAGAAAACGTCGATACTCAAAAATGAGTCTAAATATTTCCAAATTTAGGAATATGACAATTTAAAAAAAAAATACTCTGATGATGATAAAGGAAATCAAAATTTCCTTTTTTTTTTAGTTGAGGGAAAAATTGAGAGAAAAATTCCAAAAGGAGTATTTTTAAATTTTGCAAATAGTGAAAGAAAGAAAAAAAAAAAAAATTTTTATATTTCCAACTGAATCCTTGCCCCTCTCAAAAAAATAAGAACTTGAGTAACTCGACATTCCTAATATTTTTTTTTAGAGATTAATCGACGTTACATATCCTAAGACTATATTTTTGTACTTCCAAAAAAATCTTCATTCCCTTTTTCTTTGAAAAGAAAGTATTTTCAATTTTTTATTCGACTGAAATCGATTTTGCTGTTTTTTTTTTATTTTTTTTTTTGCAAATTTCAATTAAATTAATTTCAAAAAAACATATTATAAAATTGTAATTTTGTTTAAATAATAGTATAAAATTTTGATTTTTATTAAATAGTATTAAATTGTAAATTTTGTTTATTTAATAAAATAACAATTTTATTGTTATTTTTAATATTTCAAAAAAGTGACAATTTTTCCCAAAATTACAATTAATTCGATGAATTAGAATACGAAAAAAAAAGAATTTTTAATTCTTATATACAGGCCTCGGATAACAACAATTCTTCAAAATTTCAATTATTTTAAAGTTTTTTTCAATTAAAATTTTTATAAAATTCAATAATTGTTGAAAATTAAAAAAAAAGTCATCAAATAAAATTATCAAAAATTTCAATTCAAAATCACTAGAAGTTGAATTATTTTCAAAAATCTGAATTGTAAATCTTCAAAAATTCAATTATTTTTAAAAAATGATTATTTAAAATTATTTCATAAATTTTTTTTATTTCTGTAAAATTTAATTATTGATTGAAATTTAACATGAAATCTTAAAAAATTCAATTATTTTTAAAAATTTTAACTGAAACTCATCAAAAATTCAATTATTTTAATATGAAACTCATTAGAAATTCAATTTATTTAAACTATTTTTCAATTAAAATTTTTATGAAATTCAATAATTGTTTAAAATTTTAAACAAAAAAATTAGAAAACAAAATTCTCGAAATATTCAATTAATAATCACTTGAAATTCAATTATTTTAAACTATTTTTCAATTAAAAATTTTTGAAATTCAATTTTTGTCACCAATTTCTGATAAATTCTTTTTCAATAGAAATCACCAAAAAATTTCAATTAAAAATTACTTAAAATTCAATTATTTTCAAAAATCTGAATTATAAATTTTTGAAAATTCAATTATTTTTCAAAATTTCAATTCAAAACCAATTAAAATTCAATTATTTTTAAAAATTTCAATTCAAAATTAATTAAATTCAACTATTTTTAAAACTTTTAATTCAAAATCAACTAAAATTCAATTATTATGCAAAATTCCAATTAAAAATCAATTATTTTTAAAATTTTCAATTAAAAACAAATTAAATATCCAATTATTTCAAAAAATTTAAATACATAATCAACTGAAATTCAATTGTTTTGTAAAATATCAATTCAAAACCAATTAAAATTCAATTATTTTCAAAAATTTCAATTCAAAATTAACTAAAATTCAATTATTTTAAAAATTTCAATTCAAAATCAACTAAAATTTAATTATTTTCAAAAATTTTAATTAAAAATCAATTATTTTTAAAATTTTCAATTCAAAACAAATTAAATATCCAATTATTTCAAAAAATTTCAATTCAAAATCAACTGAAATCCAATTGTTTTGTAAAATTTCAATTCAAATCCAATTATTTTCAAAAATTTCAATTCAAAATTAACTAAAATTCAATTATTTTAAAAATTTCAATTCAAAATCAACTAAAATTTAATTATTTTCAAAAATTTTAATTAAAAATCAATTATTTTTAAAATTTTCAATTCAAAACAAATTAAATATCCAATTATTTCAAAAAATTTCAATTCAAAATCAATTGTTTTGTAAAATTTCAATTCAAAATCAATTGAATTTTAATTATTTTTGGAATTTTGAATTCAAAATCAACTAAAATTCAATTATTTTAAAAAATTTAACAAAATCTTTTTGAAATTCAATTATTCCGAAAAATTTCAACTGTAACTCTTCAAAATTTAATTATTTTTAATAATTTTTTAATATTTTTTAAAATATTCAATTATTTCATAAAGTTTTAAATAAAAATTCTATAATGGAATTTAATATCTACTAACATTTGTTATTTTATAGTAAAATATTTGTTAATTAAAGTTAGTTAAAATAAAAAAAAATTGTTTTTTTTCCTCAGGTCTGTATATAACAATGCAAGAATATAAAAACAATTTTAGAATTATATATAAAATTTGGTAAATTCATTTTAATTTCTACAAAAATTGGATGTTCAAAAAAAAAATGTATAAAATGTCACAATGACTATTGTAAATATAATAATAAATTCATAAGGAGTGTTCATGAAAAAAAAAAAAAAAAAATTCCTAGTGATAAATATGTTGCATGAAGCAGTATTTTAATAGATTAAAAAAAAACAACATAAATGTTAAGATATTGGATTAATGTACACATTTTTTAAACACATTCTTTTATAAGAAAAAAAAAATCTTTTCTATTTTTTACAATAATTGCACAACACGTTGCTCTATTTCTCTATCGAGTACCTGAATATAGTATATTTTAAGTTTTTAAAAATATTTTTTACTCGAAAGACAAAAAAAAATAAATAATTTTCAAAATAAAAAATAATTACTAAAAATAATTATTTAACAAAAAAAAAAAAAAAAAGAAAATTTCTACATGACAATTAATTACTACTCAGCCTACTAAATATATGAAATTAATTTTCATTTCATTCTTTTCTTATACAAAAACTTGTAAAATATAAATAGATAATAAAAATAAAGATGTTAACTTATTATTGTATGGGAGAAAAATTACATTCCAAAGAGAGAGAAAAAAAAAAAATACCGATTATGTAAGAAAAGTTCTCAAAAAAAAAAAAAAAAATTTACGAATGTTTATTGCAAATAAGACGTATATAAAATATTATTAGACGAAAAAAAAATGATATTATTAAATCACAAAAATATAAAGTTGAATAAAAAATAGTTTTTTGTGTATTATAGAAAAAAAAAACATCCTCTCCTTTCATAAAAATAATGTAAATTTTCTGTTAAATTATAAATAATTTATGAAAAAGAAAACAAAAAAAAAAAAAATTTGTAAACGTGATTTATTTAATTTTTGTTAATAAACAAATATACATATTTAACGATATATACCTAATTCATATGATAGGAAATTTTGCAAAAAAAAAAAAACTCTATTTCTGTGTTTTATTTAGTTTTTTCTTTATTTTATTATGTAAACGAAGAACCAGTTCTTTTTTTTATTTCAGATTTCAATTAAATTATTTAGTTTTAGTTTTTAAAAATAATAATTCCGTTTATATTTTACGTTTTTTTTTTTAAATATATTTCTCAAAATAATAAAATATTATTTATTTATTTAAAACGAAAATATTATTTAAAAATTGTAAAATTTTATATAATTAATAAAATATTATATTCGAAAATTATTTAAAAATAATAAAATATTATTATTACTTAAATAATAAGAAAATTAGAATATTATTTAAAAATAATAAAAATAATCAAATATTATTCGAAAATAATAAAAATTAAATTTTAAAATCATATTTTAAAAATAAAATTTTAATTATTTTTTTTCTAAAAAAAATCATCCTGATAATTGTCAACTTGGTTTAATTATTTATTCAATCAATTTGATTAATTTTAATATTCACTAAGTAATTAACTCAATGTAGAGAAAAAAAGAAGAAAAAAGAGAATGACTTGTAACAACAATGTAAGTATAATCAATGGAAATTGTAATTATAATTAAGCAAGGCATATAATTAATTATTTTTAGTTATGTTTCAATAATAATTATTGGCTTGAATTTGCAAAAAAAAAAAATTTTTAATTAAATTAAAAAATAAAATTAATTTTTTTAATTTAATTTTCTTAATCGCAAAAAATTACAAAAATAGAAATTATTAAATTAATTTTCTTTTTTGGTAAAAATTGACGAAAATTTTGTTTTTGTATTTAGTACAATAATTTTTCTAAAACAAAATGCGCAAACTCTGCGAATCGATTTTAACCTCAACACAGCACAAAGCTGCTGCTGCTGTTTGTCAAATTCGCGATTTACATAAAAAATTATGTTACTTCAATTTATTAAATTTCTAAATATCCAAAGGCAAAATTTTTCGAAAAATGTTCAATAAAATTATCAACAATTTTTCTAATATGAATTTTTTTACATCCAATATCTATTTGGATTTTTTAATCACAATAATTCAATGATAAAAAATTGATCTCAAGGTAAATTTTTATCTAACTTATATGATTTTTAATAATAAACAATTTTTAAATTTCGTTTTTTAAATTTTATAATTTTATAATTTTATTTTATTTTTTATAATTTTATATTTTTCTACTTTTATAATTTTGTAATTTTGCAATTTATAATTTTTAATTTTTAATTTTTAATTTTATAATTTCAATTTCGACGAAGATAAAAATATAATTTTTGAATAATTATTTACTTAATTCAATAAAATAAGAAATTTTTGTCTCAAGATAAATTTTTAACTAATTTTTGATTATAAAATTTTTTAATTTTCTAATTTAAAAATTTTAAATTAAAGAATTTCAAATTTTGTCGACGAAAAAAAATTATTTCCTAAAATAATTAATTACCTAATTTAATATAGAAAATTTTTGACGCAAGGTAAATTTTTTTATCTAACTTTTGATTTTAATTTCAAAATTAAAAAAAATTTTCATTAATTTTTCAATTTCGTGGAGAAAATATAGTAATTTCTAAATAATTAATTACATAGTTTGTAATTTAAACTAATTAGATAACGTTCACAAAAATGATGTCACGCACTGAAATGTTTTGTAGTTGAACAAATGCGTGACTGTAAATTTTCTCTTGAAAATTAATTTAATAATTATTTTAATTAACAATTTTTTAAATTTTAATATAATAATTAGAATACAAAATTCAATAATTTTTTAATTTTAATAATTTAAATAAAAAATTTAATAATATTTTAATTTTAATAATTTAAATAAAAAATTTATTAATTTTTTTAAATTTTAATAATTTAAATAAAAAATTTAATAATTTTTTAATTTTAATAATAATTAAAAAAAGAAATTTTTTTTTAATAATTTTTTTTATTACAGATTTGTATATGAAACGCCGCAATAAAAACAATAGTTTTAGTTCACATGACAAAAGGGACAAAAAAGTTAATTTAAAGAAAACAAAAAATATACAAAATTTTCCAATTGTTGACAAATTTATGGAGCCATTTAAATTAATTCGAGACTTGATTAACAAGTAAGTGTAATGTTTAAAAATTGTTAATTAATTTTTAAATAATTTTTTAATTCTATTAATTTCATAATTTTATTAATTTTTTTTTTTTAAATTAATTAACAAATTAATTTTTTAATTATCCATTTTGTATGAAAAAAATTATTCCACTTGAAATATATGAACAACTTAAAAGTTGAGAATTTTATTTATATAATTAAAAATGTACTTACATTTTTGTTTTTCCGATAAAATACGATTTTTTTTTCACGAGAACTTTTTTAAAAATAATTTCTTGTTTTATAAAATAATTTTTTATTTTATACTTAATAATTTACAATTAGTAATTGATTTTATTATTGCAAAACAACAGTATTAATAAAAATGATAAATGATTGAAAAATAAAAATAAAACTTGTAAACTTTAGTCAAGAGAAGCTGAGAATCAACTGATAAATCTACGCATAAATATTCTTGCAATCAAGCAAATTGCATTACGCTTGTAATAAACTTATATAAACAACAAATATTGCTTAGTAATCTATTTCTATGTTTTATTCCATTTTCTCTCTATTTCTATTCTATTTTCTTTTTAAAAAAATATTTCACTATATTTTGTATTTCTCATTTTTTTAATAAGACATTTTTATATTATTAATTTTTTTTTTTTAATAAAATAAAATTAATAAAAATATTTTAATGAAAAAAACTATGGTTCTTTAAATTTTTTTAGTAAAATAATGAATAAAATAATAATAATAATAATAATAATAATAATAAATAAAATTATATAATAATAATAAATATAATAATTATATAATAATAAAATGCTTGGTCTGTCCTTCTGTCCTAACTTGAAGTTGGCCTTTTCTGATTTCACGTGTTTTTTTGAATATTAATCTTATGACGTGTCAAATTTTGACAATTCTTTTTCTCATTTTTGCCAAAGTTGTATAATTGTGTTTCCAAATTTAGGAATAAGTTTCTTTAAAATTCCAAATTCGAAAATTCAATTCACGAAGCTGAAGTACATAACGTTTATCAACGAAATTTTTTTTAAAGTTGTATATTGATTCAAAAATTGTATACAAATACAAAAAACTTATGATGAGCAAAAAAGATGCGCCACGAAATTTCGTACAAGATAGTAATTTGAAAAAAATTTATTTTTAAAAATTAATTTTTAAGGTACCAGGGGCCAACGAATACCTATTAAATATTAATTATAAAAACACAGGCCTCGAATCAACTTAAAAGTCGTTTCAGTCGATTTATATTCCAAAAAAAGTGGTTTTGTTTTTTATTTTAACAAAAATATTTTACAGATTTTTAAATAAAATTTTTTTTTTTAATAATAATCCTTTTCGAAGGGTTAAAGTTGAAATTTTTAGAAATAATTAAATTTCAAAAGATATATTGTTAATTTTCAAACAATTATTAAATTTTACAGAACTAAAAATAATTTATCAAACAATTTTTGGAAAACATTTTTTAAATTTAATTGAATTTTCAAAGATTTAAAATTGAAATTTTTGAAATTAATTGAAACTTTAAATGTTTTGTAATTAAAATTTTAGATGATTTCACTAAAAATTGAATTTTATTTGATTTTAAATTGAAAATTAGGAAAATAATTAAGTTTTAGAAGATTTTGAATTGGAAATTTAGAAAATAATTGAATTTTAATTGACTTTAAATGGAAATTTTTAAAAATAATTTAATTTTATTTGATTTTAAATTGAAAATTTGGAAAATAATTGAATATCAATTGAAATTTTGTATAATAATTGAATTTTAATTAATTTTGAATTAAAACTTTGGGAAATAATTGAATTTTAATTGATTTTGAATTGAAATTTTTGCAAATAATTTAATTATATTTGATTTGAAATTGAAAATTTGAAAAATAATTGAATTTTAAAAGATTTTGAATTAAAAATTTTGAACATAATTAAATTTTATGTTTAATTTTGTATTGAAATTTTTAAAAATAATTGAATTTTAATTGATTTTGAATTAAAAAGTTTTGAAAATAATTTAATTTTATTTGATTTGAAATAGAAAATTTTGAAAATAATTGAATTTTCTTTGATTTTGCATTGAAATTTTGGATAATAATTTAATTTTAGTTGATTTTTGATTGAAAATTTTGATAATAATTAATTTTGGATAATAATTGAATTTGAGTTGATTTTGAATTGAGATTTTTAAAAATAATTGAATTTTATTTGATTTTAAATTGAAAATTTGGCAAATAATTGAATTTTAAAAGATTTTGAATTGAAATTTTTTTAAATAATTGAATTTCAATTGAAGTTTTGGATAATAATTTAATTTTCGTTGATTTTTGATTGAAAATTTTGATAATAATTAATTTTGAATCGAAATTTTGGATAATAATTGAATTTTAATTGATTTTGAATTAAAATTTTTGGTAATAATTGAATTTGAGTTTAATTTTGAATTGAAATTTTGGATAATAATTTAATTTAATTTAATTTAAGTTAATTTTTGATTGAGAATTTGGATAATTAATTTTGAATAGAAATTTTTGGAAAATAATTGAATTTTATTTCATTTTAAATTGAAAACTTGGTAAATAATAAAATTTTAAATTGAAAATTTTGGATAATTATTGCATTTTTAATTGATTTTGAATTAAAATTTCGGGTAATAATTGAATTTTAGTTTATTTTGAATGGGAATTTTTAAAAAATAATTCAATTTTATTGTGATATTTTTTTTTTAAATTATAAACAATTGTTAAATTTCATAAAAATTTGAATTGAAAAATAATTTTGATATAATTGAATTTGTGATGTATTTCATTAAAATTATTAAAAATAATTAATTTAGTGAAGAATCATTTTAGTTGAAAATTTGTTAAATAATTGAATTGAAGAAGATCTGAAGAAGATCTACATTTTATACTAAAAAAAATGTATTTTATTTACCTCCCTGAAGTTGGCTTCGACGCTCAGCGCCAAAAATTGTTTTTTGCAGAATGAAAAATTTCAAATTATTTTTTTTTTAATTTTTCAATTCAAATAATACCTTGAAAAATACTTCTCAAGGCATTGTGTGGACCAAAGACCTTTTTAAAAAATGTTTTGATATTTTTGATTCTGCGAAAAACAATTTTCGGCGCTTAGCGTCGAAGCCAACTTCAGGGAGGTTTTTATTTACATTTTTTTTCAAATGTAAAAAAAAATGTCGCATTTTATTAAAATAAGTCGATAAAAGTCGTATTTTTGAAAAAAGTCGGAAAAAGTCGTATAATCCGAGGCATGTAAACATATATAATTTTCATTATTATCATTTAACATGTAATAATATTCTAATAAATTAAATTATTATTGATAATATTAATCTTTAAGTTCTTTATGACAAACAATTAAATACTTAATTTGGCGCGCGTTTAATTTTGCTAGTAATGAATAAAATAATAATAATAATAATGATAATAATAAATAAATAAATAAATTAATAATATAATAAAGTATGTAATTTGAAAAAAATATTCAAAAAATAGAAAAAGGAAAAATAGGACAAAAAAACATTGAAAAAAATGGAAAAAGGAAAAATAGAAAAAAATATTAAAAAATAGAAAAAGGAATAATAGAAAAAAATATTAAAAAGGAAAAACTATTCAAAAAATAGAAAAAAAGGGGAAAAATTTTAAGAAAAACATTTGGAAAATTGTAAAAGGAAAAATATAATAAAATATAATAAACAGCAAAAGAAAAAAAAAATTATGTTTAATTTAGAAAAAATTTTTTAAAAACTTTTTTTCGTTTGCATTGATTGTTTCAGGTTGAATTTAAAATCAAAGAAAATAATTTTAACCCTCCTCGTGATAATTACAATTATTTTGATACTAACAATTATTGTTGGCGTTTCTAATACAAATCAAAATGAAAAATTAATTCCACCCGATCCTGAATATCAACAACCACCATCGTGGAGTAAATTGAGAAAATTTAAAAAAGGAGCCGTTTGTGCTGATGGACCACCATGTGCATTTATTGGAAAGTAAATAAAAAAAAAAAAATTAAAATAAATAATATCCATCGAAAAAAATAATTTTTTTCATTAATTGTAGTTTAATTTTATAATTAATGTATTTAAAAAAAATATATATATTTTTCTTGAATTTTAGTTATTTTATTATCGATTAAAGGTCAATTTTAGAAAAAAATGGATCGGCAGTAGACGCAACGTTGGCTGCAATGATTTGCAATGGTTTTATAAATATGCACAGTCTGGGATTTGGCGGTGGATTTTTCATGACAATTTATGAGAGAAAATCAAAAAAGGCTTTTGTTCTTGATGCAAGATATTCGGCTCCATTGGCCGCTCATAAATATATGTTTCACGATAAGCCGAATAATGCGTCGAAAACAGGTTTGATCTTATATAATTTTCATCTATTATAAATAGCAATAATTAATTTCAAAAAAAAAAAAAAAAAAATTTTTTTAATTTTTGGAAAATTTTGAATTTTTTTTTTTCAAATTTTGAAATTTTTATTTTATTTTCAAATTAGATTTTTTTTTGTGTTAGATTTTGAAATTTTTATTTTGTTTTCGAATTTTTAGATTCATTTTTCTTTTTACAAATTTTGAAATTTTTATTTTGTTTTCAAATTTTTAGATTCATTTTTCTTTTTATAAATTTTGAAAATTTGTATTTTATTTTCAAATTTTTAGATTAATTTTTTTTTTTACTTGAATTTGTGTATTTTGTTTTCAAAATTTTAGATTAATTTTATTTTTGTTGCAAATTTTGAAATTTTTTATTTTATTTTCAAATTTTGAGAATAATTTTTTTTTTTTACTTGAGAAATTTTGTATTTTGTTTTTAAATTTTTAGATTAATTTTTTTTCGGCTTGAAATTTTGTATTTTGTTTTCAAATTTTTAGATTAATTTTATTTTTGTTGCAAATTTTGAAATTTTTTATTTTATTTTCAAAATTTTAAAATTGATTTTGTTTTTTTTTTGCTTTCGAATTTTTTATTTTTCTATTTGAAAATTATAGGTGCTTTATCAGTGGCTGTACCCGGAGAACTTGCCGGTTATTGGGAGGCACATAAACAATTTGGCAAATTGCCCTGGTCAGAATTATTTAAACCAAGTATTGAAATTTGCGATAATGGCTATAATTTAACAAAATCCCAATACAAAGGACTTCAGGAGGACAATTTTAATATTCACGATGATCTCACTCTCAAGTAAACGAAAAAAAAATACTCTATTATTTCAAAAATTGAAAAAAAAATTTAATTGAAAAAATAAAATAAATAATTTAATAAAAGAATTAAAATAAAAAAAAAAAATTTTTTCAATTTTTTGTAAATAATTAACTATTTGTTGAAAATTTACAATATTTATTATTTCAAAAATTGAAAACAAAAAATTAATTGAAAAAATTAAATAATTTTAATAAAGGAATTAATTTTTTTTTTGTAATATATAATTTCATTTTTTTTTTTTTTTTTAAAGAGAAATGTTCATTGATTCTGAGACGGGCGAACTTCGAAAACCGGGCTCGATAATAAAACCAAAAAAATTATGCGATACAATGCGATTGATTGCTGAAAAAGGTGTGAATATATTTTACAATGGATCATTGGGACTTGAACTTGTCGAAGATTTAAAACGAAGGGGCGGTATAATTACGATGAAAGATTTGAATGATTACAGGTGAGAAAAATTTACTAAAATAAAATTTAATAATTTAAAATTACAATTGGAGAAAATTTACTGAATTCTAAATTAAAATTTTCTAATTTAGAATTTGTTAATTTTTAAAATTCCATAATTTTGAATTTAATAAACTAAAATTTTCTAATTGTAAATTTAAAATGTACAAAAAGCATTTTAAATTTGAAATATTAGACGAATCAGAAAAATAGATACTAGAAAATTATTTAAAAAAATTTTTTTTTTAAAATTCAAAAATTAATTTATTAAATTAATTGAAAAATTAAAAATTAATTTATTAAATTAATTATAATATGAAAAATCCATTTAAAAAAAACTGGAAAATAAAAATAATAAAAAAGAATAAGCTAAAAAAAACTAAAATAAAAAATAAAAATTAAATTAGGTGATTTAAAAAAAATAATTTTCTTATTTTTTAGAGTAAAATGGAGAGAACCAACGAGTACATTTTTATCAAATGGAATTAAAGTTTATTCCTCAGGTGTACCTGGAGGTGGTGATATTCTTGTATTTCTACTAAATATTTTTGATAATTTTCATTTTACAAAAAAAAGCATTGCTGACATCAATTCTTCTGTTATCACATTTCAAAAAATGATAGAAGCTTTTAAATATGCTTACGCATTTAGAACAAAACTCGGAGATTCAGATTTCGTTGATTTATCTCAAGTAAGTATATTAAAATTTTTAAAAAACAAATTTTACTTGTATTCGACAAAAATTTTAAATATTATATTTTTAAATTAGAAATTGGAGACAAAAATTGAATTTCAAAACAAAAAAAAAATTATAATTTAAAACTAATTTAAAATAATTCAATTTCTCAAGAGTTTCATTAAAATAATTTGAAAATAATTGAATTTTTAAAGAGTTTCAGTTTGAAATTTTTAGGAATAATTGAATTTCGAAAGATTTTGTTAAATTTCAGACAATAATTAAATTTTAGATGGTTTTAAATTGAAATTTTTTAAAATTAATTGAATTTCACATAAAAAATTTTAAAAATATTTAAATTTTAGTAGGTTTTAAATTGAAATTTTGGAAAATAATTGAATTTTCAAAAATTTACAATTCATATTTTTGAAAATAATTCAACTTCAAGTAATTTTCAATTGATTTTTTTTGGTGATTTTTGTTGATAAATAATTTTTTAGAAATTAGAGACAAAAATTGAATTTCAAAAAAAAATTTTTAATTGAAAAATAGTTTAAAATAATTGAATTTCTAAAGAGTTTCATTGAAATAATTGAAAATAATTGATTATAAATTATAAATTTGTTTTAAAATTGAAATTTTAGGTAATTTATTTTATTTACTTATTTTTGTTTTTAATTTTAAACAATTACTGAATTTCATAAAATTTTTTATTGAAAAATAGTTGAAATTTTCGGGAATTTTGTTTCATAATTTTTTTTTTTTAATTTGAAACAATTATTAAATTTTATAAAATTTTTAAATGAAAAATACTTCAAAATAATGGAAGAGTTTCATTAAAATAATTGATTATAAATTATAAATTTGTTTTAAAATTAAAAATTTTGAAAATACTTGAATTTCTGAAGAGTTTCAATAAAATAATTGAAAATAATTGAAATTTTGAAGAGTTTCAGTTGAAATTTTAAGGAATAATTGAATTTTCAAAGATTTTGCTAAATTTCAGATAATAATTAAATTTTAGATGCGGTTTTAAATTGAAATTTTTTAAAATAATTGAATTTCAAGTGATTTTTTATAAAAATTTTTTGATGATTTCTGTTGATAAAGAATTTTTTAGAAATTGAAGACAAAAATTGAATTTAAAAAAATTTTTAATTGAAAAATAGTTTAAAATAATTGAATTTTGAAAGAGTTTCATTAAAATAATTGAAAATAATTGAATTTCAAGTGATTTTGAATTGAAATTTAAGGTAATTTTAATTAATGATTTTTTTTATAAATTTTAAACAATTATTGAATTTTTATAAAATTTTTAATTGAAAAAAAACTTTAAAATAATTAAATTTTTTAAGTTTTTCAGTTGAAATTTTTAAAAATAATTTAATTACTTAAGATTTTTTTCAAATTTCAATCAATAATTAAATTTTTCAAAAAATGAAAATAATTTTTTCAATTAATTTTAGTTAAATGTCAAAAATTTTTAGATTGGGAAATTTTAGAAAGAATTAAATTTTGAGATTTGTTTTAAAAACTGAAATTTTGGAAAATAATTGAATTTTCAAAAATTTACAATTTAGATTTTTGAAAATAATTGAATTTCTAAAGAATTTCATTGAAATAATTGAAAATAATCGATTTTCAAGTGATCATTAATTGAAGTTTTGGGGAATTTTGATTTCTAATTTTTTTTTTAATTTTAAACAATTATTAAATTTCATAAAAACTTTTTAATTGAAAAATAGTTAAAAATAATGGAAGAGTTTCATTAAAATAATTTGAAAATAATTGAATTTTTAAATAGTTTCATTAAAATAATTGAAAATAATTCAATTTCAAGTGATTTTTGATTGAAATTTTTTGGTAATTTTTTTTTTTGAATTTTCTAAAAATTTTTTTTAATAGAAAATAGTTTTTTAAAAAATTGAATTTTCGAAGAAATTTAATTAAAATTATTGAAAAATAATTAATTTAGAGAAGAATTTGAATAAAAAAAGAAAAAACAAATTTGTCAAATAATAAATAAAATAATAATAATAAATAAATAAATAAATTGCACGCTGACAATAATATAAATTAAAACCAGTTAATTAGAAAGTTGAAATCGAAGGAGTTCGCTAAATTACATTGGAAAAAAATCAACAGCAATAGAACATGGAATGATCCATTTTATTATGGTGTTGAAGATACAGGGAATTTTAATGATCAAGGAACATCTCACATATCAGTATTTGCACCAAATGGTGATGCGGTTTCTATTACTAGTACTGTCAATCTTTAGTAAGTATCGACAATTTTTCTATTTTCTAAAAAACCGTTATATTTATCTCTCTCTCATCATGATGATGAGAGACAGGATATATTCACGTTTTATTTTTTTTTATTTATTTTTTTTTTTCATGTATTTCATTTCATCTCGACTTGAATGATTCTTATCAGTTTTGGAAGTGGAATTGTAAGCGAAAGAACGGGAATTCTACTTAATAGTGGAATGGATGATTTTGGTTTACCATTGCAATATAGTTATTTTGGAATACCATCGAGTCAAAATAATTTTATTCAACCAGGAAAACGACCATTGTCATCAATGTCGCCTACAATATTAATTGATGAAAATAATAATGTTAAAATGATCATTGGCGCTGCCGGTGGGACAAAAATAACCACAGCAATTGCATTTGTATGAGAAAAGAAAAAAAATTATTTTGAAAAAAAAATCGCCAAAAATTATTTTTAATACTATTTAATAAATTAACTTCAATTATTTAAATAAATAAATAAAAAATAAATTTATTTCCATTCATTTACAATTGGAAAATTCTAATTTATTTCCAAAAAAAAGTTTCACAATAATTAAAATTGGAGAAAAATGGACCAAAATTTTGTGAAATTTATTTTTGCAAATAAAAATATTGTTTTTTAATTCCAAAAAAATAATATTATTCACAATTATTATTATTTTTTATTATTGTATTATTTCAAAATTTTATTAATTGAAAAAAAAATTCTATTCTAATTTTTCTTGAATATTAATTTTATTAAATTTTTTTTTAACTTTCAATTAATTTAAATTTTATAAAATTAAATTTACATTTTTTTTAAATTAAATTTAAAATTAATTGCAAAATAATAATTTTTGGTATTAAAAATAATTGAAGTGAAAATTTTTTTCGGGGATTTTTCTTTTCTAGTTTCAAAAAACAAAAAAAAAATAAAATAAAAATTAATTTTTTCAACAGGTAATTGCAAGATTTTTATGGATGGGAAATTCATTGAAAGAATCAGTGGACGCTGCAAGAATTCATCATCAATTATTTCCAATGAAAGTGATTTATGAATATGGAATAGAAAAATTAATTATTGATGGATTAAAAAAATTGGGTCATCAAACAATGAGATACAAAAATCATGGAAGCGTTATTTGCGCAATAACAAGGGAGAATGAGACTATTTTTGCTAATGCCGATTATAGAAAAAATGGCGATGTCTATGGAATCGATGAAAAATAAAAAAAAAAGTACAATTTGAAAAATTGCCTTTTCTTTTTTTTTTTTTTGGTAAATTATATTTTTTTTATCCTTATATAATTAATTAAATAATAAAATAATTAATTTTTATTTTATAATTAATTTAATAATAGAATAATTAATATTAAAATAATAATTAATATTAATATTAATTTAGTTAATTAATTAATTAATTAATTAATTAATATTAATTATATATAATTAAATAATTAATTTTTATTTTACAATTTTAATAATCATTTTAAAATTGTGAAAATAGAGAAAAAAATTTATTTTTACTATTTAATTTCCGATAATTGACAAAAAAAAATCTAAAAAACTATTTTAATTATTATAATTTATTTATTTATTTATTTATTTGGAACATAACGGGACAATTTAATAAAAACATTAAATTTTTGTGTTTTTCTCACCAATAATCGAGAAAAAACAATATTTATTTTGAATATTTCATTTACGATAATTTTAATAAAAGTATCTTAATTAAAATCAAAAAGTAGATTTAATTATTGTAATTAATTTAATAACAAAAATAATTGATATTAGCGATTTTTTTCACTCTTCAAATGTATAATCGAGAAAAGAAAATTTATTTTTAACATTCAATTTTCGATAATTTAAAAAGAATATCTGAATTTTATTAAAATTATAATTTAATTTTTAATTAATTTAATAATATAATATTTAATTTTAATATTCTTTTTTATCAGTTTTCCAATAAACGAGAAAAATAAAATTATTTTTAATATTTAGATTTCGAATAATTTAAAAAAAAAATATCTGAATTAAAAGTAATTTTATTATTAATTAATATTTATTTGTAATTTTATTGAAAATATTTTTTTATTTTGTAATTTTATTACAAATATTTCATTATTTTGTAATTTTTATTTATTTTATTTATATATTATAAATTATTATTTATTTATTTGCAATTTTATTACAAATATTTTATTATTTTGTACTTTTTATTTATTTTATTTATATATTCAAAATTATTATTTATTTATTTGTAATTTTATTACAAATATTTTATTATTTTGTAATTTTTGTACGAAAATATATTTTTATTTCTAATTTTATAGCAAAAATTTTTTTATTTTGTAATATTTATTACAAATATTTTATTATTTTGTAATTTTAGCGTTAATATTTTTTTATTTTGTAATTTTATTACAAGTATTTTATTATTTTGTAATTATAGTACAAAAATACATTTTTTATTTCTAATGTTATCGCAAAAATTTTTTTATTTTGTAATTTTTATTTATTTACTGTAATTTATTATTTATTTATAATTATTTATTTGTAATTGTATTACAAATATTTTATTATTTTGTAATTTTAGTACAAAAACATGTTTTTTATTTCTATAATTTTATCGCATATATATTATTTTTTTATTTTCTAATTTTATCGCAAATTTTTTTTTTTAATTTGTAATTTTAGTAGGAAAATATTTTTTTGTTTTATAATTTAATTATAATTACAAATATTTTATTATTTTGTAATTTTAGTACGAAAATATTTTTTTATTTTGTAATTTTATTACAATTATTTTATTATTTTGTTATTGTAGTACAGAAAAAATTTTTTTATTTCTAATTTTAGCGGGCAAATATTTTTTTTATTTTCTACTTTTATTGCAAAAATTTTTTTTATTTTGTAATTTTAGTACGAAAATATATTTTTATTTTGCAATTTTTTTATTTATTTTATTTTTTGTAATTTATTATTTATTTATTATTATTTATTTGTAATTTTATTGTAAATATTTTATTATTTTGTAATTTTAGTAACAAAAATACATTTTTTATTTCTAATTTTATCGCAAAAATTTGTTTATTTTGTAATTTTTATTTATTTATTGTAATTTATTATTTATTTGTAATTGTATTACAAATTTATTATTATTTTATAATATTAGTAGGAAAATATTTTTTTGTTTTGTAATTTAATTAAAAATTTTTTATTATTTTGTAATTTTAGTAGGAAAATATAAAATTATAAAATATTATTATATTTTTATTCTAAATATTTTATTATTTTGTTATTTTAGTACAAAAAAAAATTTTTTTATTTCTAATTTTGGGGCGCAAATATTTTTTTTTTATTTTCTAATTTTAGTACGAAAATATTTTTTTTATTTTGTAATTTTATTACAAATATTTTATTATATTGTATAATTTTAGTAAAAAAAAAAAAAATATTTTTTTTATTTCTAACTTAATTATAATTATTATTTTTTTTCAATTGTTAAATAATTTAAATAATTTCTGTAAAATAAAATTTTCCCGAAAAATTTTAATTAAAAAATAAATTAAACTCACAGTTCTGCCAGCAAATTTAACATTAATACGTGACAAAACAATAATTTTTCAGCATTTATAAAACCTGTTGATAAGATTATTACAATATACATATATATATATATATATATATTATGCATTTTCATTATATTTGAAAAAGTAACCTCTTTTATCGTATATGAACGCGAAAAAAAAACAACAAAAAAATGATAAGAAATTATTATACTTTCTATTTAGTATAATAATAATAATAATAATAATAATAATAATAATTTTCATATGTATATTAAAAAGAAAATCAAAATTATAAATATAGACAAAAACGTCAACAAACGATACAGAAATAATCAAACAATGAAAACAATTGAAATTATCATTGAATTATTTTCTTGTTTTTCCAAAACAAATCATGAATTGCAAAATTTCGAGTTCGAAATTTAAAACGAACAAATTCAAAATATTGCTAATACACATAAAATACTAAAAAAAAAAAAAAAAAATAGAAAAAAAAATGTTCATAACCAAATTCATTTCGAAAAATAATTAACAGTTTTAAAATTAAAAAATATATATGTAAATAATTACCTTATGGTTTTTAGGTTAGGAGATAAATAAACACGATATTTCAAATTATACACTAATAAAAAATCAAAATAACCTCATTTTTGAGAAAAATTATTAACACTTTTTTTTTTTTTTTAAATAAATATATAGGAAAAAACTAAACTTTATTTTTAATTAATTATTGCATAAAAATTCTATATATATATTTTTTGCTGACAACTTTTTTTTTTTTTTTTTTATAAATATTCCAAGAGATGAGAGCCAATGAAAGTTATTGAAATATACGCATGCGCGTGTCAATTATCCGTTGTCTATAAAAGAGGCGCGCGCTGTTTTAACAAAAACAGTATTATTGTGAAATCTATATATATATATTGTGAATTAAATTCTCTGTTACTGTGGAAAAAAAAAAATTTCGTTTTATTTTTTTTGCTTACACTTGAAAAAGAAAAAGTAAGAAAAATCTAATTAAAGTGATAAATTATGTCTGAGGATCATTTTGACGCATACGAGCATTTCAATTACGATTATGATAAACACATATTTAGCGCTCACAGTGGAAAACAAAGAAGCAAACGTGAAGCCATTCTTCATACAAATCATTTTGATCCAAGTGGACATTCTCGAAAGATCGTTACTAAATTAATGAATTCCGAGCATAATAAACGACACGTTGAAAAAAATAAATCCTAAATACAACGCAAAAAAAAAAAAAATCAAGTAAGTTTTGTAATTATATATATATATATTTTTTTTAATTTTTGTCTCTCAAGGTCATTGTTATTATTATTATTTTGCGGCATATTCTGCGGCGTAAAATCTTACAAGATGGCGGCACTTGTGTGTTTAAAAAAAGAGAAGAAAAAAAAATTGCGTCTTATTTGAATTTCTTTTTTTTTTTCTCTCTTCCAAGAGAGACAACCTTGACTAAAATAATATAATTCTTGACTTTAATACACACACACACAGACAGAAGTTAATTGTTAATTTATTCAAGGTGTGAAATGTGTCCTTTTTCAAGAAAGCAAAACATGGTATTGAATATTTTAACTTTTCTTTTTTTTTTAAATACTGATGACTAATGCATAGTAAAATGATAATTGAAACAAAAGAATGTTTTTTTTCAAATCAAAATCCTATTTTTATTTTATGGGCGATTGTTGGGAATTTTTGTGATTATTTATTTTTTTTTAAATGCGATTTATTTTTTTTTAAAAATGGCGAATTTTTCGTATTTTTTTCGGGGGGAAATAAAAATTAAAAATTAATTTATTAAAATGAAATAAGAAATTTGTTAAGTTAAAAAGAAATTTATATTAAATAAAAAAGAAAATTGACTTTTGTTTTTTTTTAGTACAAATTGTAAATACTGCAAAAATTAAATTATTGAAATTATTTTGCAAAGAATTAGAAAAAAAGAAAATTTTGCGAAATAAAATTATTGAAATTATTTTGCAAAGAATTAGAAAAAAAGAAAATTTTGCGAAATAAAATTATTGAAATTATTTTGCAAAGAATTAGAAAAAAAGAAAATTTTGCGAAATAAAGTTATTGAAATTATTTTGCAAAGAATTAGAAAAAAAAATTTGCGAAACAAAATTATTGAAATTATTTTGCAAAGAATCTCAAAAAAAAAAATTTGCAAAATTAAATTATTGAAATTATTTTGCATATTTTGAATTAAAAAAAAAAAAAAAATTGCGAAATTAAAATTGTTAAAATTATTTTGCAAATTTAAATCTAAAAAGAAAATTTGCTAAAATTAATTTTTTTTTAAAATAATAAAATATTGAAATTTTTCAATTACAAATTGTGTATAATAAAAAAATTCTCCAAAATTCAATTATTGTTTAAATTTCTTTTTTTTTTTTTAAATATTCAAAATTCGAATAAAAAAAATTTTCAATTCAAAATTTTGTAAAATTTAATTTTAGAAAATCTGGATTAAATCTTTTTGTGAATTCAATATATTTAAATATTATTTTTTTTAATAATTACTTAAAATTTTGTTTAATATTCAATTATTGTCTATAATTTGTAAAAAAAGTGTTCAAAAATTCTAACAAAAAATTTTTTGAAATTCTATTATTATTATTATTCTTATTATTATTATTATTATTTTTATGAAATTCTTGGAAAATTCAATTATTTAAAACATTATTTAATAAAAAAAAGTCTCTAAAATTCAATTATTGAAATTATTTTGTAAATTTGAATCGAAAAAAAAAATTACTAAATTAATTATTTTCAATAATAATTATTGAAATTTTTCAATTAATAATTCTGTAAAATAAAAAAAATACTCCAAAATTGTATTATTGTTTAAATTTATTTTATTTTATTTTTTTTAATATTCAATTCGTATTAAAAAATATAATTTTAATTTAAAATCTTCTGAGATTTAATTAATTCTAAAAAATCTCGACTTTATCTCTTTTGAAATTAAATTATTTAAAACATTTTTCAATTTAAAATTCTCTAAAAATTCAATTATTTTCTATAATTTGCAAAAAAAAAAAAATCTTAAAAAATTAAATTTTATCAAAAAATATAATAAAAAATTTCTTGAAATTAATTTATTATTATTATTATTATTATTATTATTATTAAATTATTTAAATTATTTTACAAATTTGAATCTAAAAAAAAATTTTGTGATATTTTTGCGAATTCTTCGAAAATTCAATTATTTAAAAAATTTTTCAATTAAAAATTCTCTAAAATTCAATTATTTTCATAACTTAAAGATTCTTCTCCTCGACTATTTATCCAACAGAATCCATCTTGTTTCTATAGGTGATTACCTTTCCAAACCTTCTACCCCCACTCGTGGAGTACCTCAGGGTTCCTCGTTTGGATCCCCACTCTTTACTCTTTTCATTAACAATGTCCTTGAATTTATAGAGTCAAACGCCTTATTATTTGCGGATGATCTTAAAATTTTCCGTATGATATCCTCAGAGCAAGACATCACCGATCTACAAATTGACCTCGATAAAATTTTTGCTTGGTGCCTAGAAAACAAACTACCTCTCAACCTTAATAAATGTAAATTGTTGTCTTTCCATAAGGGCTCAGCACCTACTTTCAATCACACTTACATATTAAATAATCATAGCATTCAAAGAGTGAACTCATTTGTAGACCTTGGTGTTACTTTTAATTCATCTCTTAGTTTTGCCGATCATATAACCTCTTTAATAGCTACCGCATCCCGTGCCTTGGGCTACCTGATAAGGTCGTCGAAGAACTTTTCCAACGTTTTTACATTGACTCTTTTGTTTAACTCTTTTGTCCGGTCTCGTATGGAATATGCTTTTTTAATATGGAATCCGTTATACATAAAATATAAAGAAGATCTTGAGAAGATTCAGAAACGGTTTTTAAAGTTTTTGTCCTTCAAGATTGATGGAAGATACCCTCATCGTGGATGCGACTATCTTGAGTTATGTGAGCGTTTTAATTTTGTTACATTGGAAGAGCGGCGTATTATCAACTCTGTTATGTTTCTGTTCAAGATCATTAACAATCAAATTAATTGCCACGATTTATTATCAATTATAAATTTTCGTATACCTCGTTTCAATTCACGACAGACAACTCCTTTTTATTTAAGGGAACCTATCTCCTTTTCAGGATCCAGTGTACCGATTTTTTATGCATGTTTTCACATCAATCAAATTTTTAATACAATGAATCCTGATTTGGATTTGTTCTCTTCATCACAGAGTGAATTCTTAAAGCTCACCGAAACTTATGTAGAACGAATTCGCACGAATTGACTTTCATTATTATTGTTTGATTTTCTATTTTTTTTTTATCTACAGAGTTTATGTACATATTAGTCTGTCATTGGAATTTATACTTTGTTATTCTTTATTTTTTCAATTGAAATGTATATACCCATTAATGGTCTCTATGGACCGCGGGGAAATTGTTTAAATAAATAAATAAATAAATAAAAATTCTAACAAAAAAATTTTTGAAATTAATTTATTATTATTATTATTAATATTTAATCATTTAAAACATTTTCCAATTAAAAATTCTCTAAAATTAAATTATTTTCTGTAATTTGCAAAAAAAAATCTTCAAAATTCAATTTTATCAAAAATTTCTTGAAATTAATTAATTAATAATAATAATTATTATTATTACCTAAATTATTTTGCAAATTTGAATCTAAAAAAAAATTTGCGAAATTTTTGCGAATTCTTCGAAAATTCAATTATTTAAAACATTTTTCAATTAAAAATTCTCTAAAATTCAATTATTTTCTGTATTTTGCAAAAAAAAATCTTCAAAAATTCAATTTTATAAAAAATATAATAAAAAATTTCTTGAAATTCAATTATTATTATTATTAATATTATTATTAATATTATTATTATTATTATTATTATTATTATTATTATTATTATTATTATTATTATTAAATTATTTGAAATTATTTTGCAAATTTGAATCTGAAAAAAAAATTTGACTTTTTAAACAATGAAATGCTTTTTAAACAATTACGCTTTAAAAAAAAAAAGTCTTATCTAAAATAATACAGTTGTAATAATACAATAATTTCATTTTTATGCAGATAATGTTATTTACATGTTTAAGTATATATAAGAATATCTGCGTAGCTGATATTAGAGGAGAGTGATTCAAAGAAACTTAATAGAAATTTCTAGAATCGCATAACAGCAGAAAAAAAATTTCATTGTAACATTTTTGATTTTAAAATTAATTTAAAAAAAAAAATTAAATAATAAAAATTAATTAATTTTGAAAATTTTAAATTAAATACAATTTTTAAAAATATTATTCTGTAAAAAAAATATTATTTATTATTTATTAATTATTTATTAATTAAATTATTTTTCTCAACATTATTATAATATTTATGATAGAAACAGTATAAAAAAAGAATTTTATTTATTTTAAATATTTTTCAATTAATTCGATTTTTTTATTTTTTATATATTTTTTTGATTCAATCAATTTTTTTTTATTTAGAATTTTTTATTCAATCAATTAGTTTTTTATTTATATCTATTCTAATTGAATTAATTTTTTTTTTTATATTTTCTAATTCTATTAATTTTCTTTTATTTACAATTTTTAATTTAATCAATTTTTTTTCAAATTTTTTTTTGTTTCTTATTAATTTTTTAATTTCATTTTTTCGCTTCGCACGAATATTCCATGAAAAGAAAATTATTAGGTAAATAGAATTTTATTAAAAATAATTATTTTTTACACGAATTTTCATTTTTCAAATTAAAATTTAAAAGAATTTTTTTTTACACGAATTTTTTACTATAAGAAAATTTTAAGCTACCAAATTTTTTGTTTGTCAGAATTTTTATTTAATTTGTTTTTTATTAATTATAATTTGAAAAAAGAAATTTCGTCTAAAAAATTAATTTTTTTTTGAAAAAAATACTTTAAAATAACTTAATATTAATTTTAATAACTTAATATTTAATTATTTACTAACAAAATAATTGGAAAAATTTAACAAAAATCTTTGTTTTCTATTAAAAAATCTGTTTTTTTTTTAATTAAAAATCTGTGTTTTTTTTTTTGTTTCAGGAAACCAAAGTTCCTTAAAAATTCATTGGAAAAAAGTAATATCGCCCAATAGTGTTACATTAATCGTATGGGCAAATTTTTTCTCCAGGATCCTAAGGAACAAACACATACACATCTGCTTTCTTATTATATACGCATATAAAAAAATATATATATGAAAAATGCATTTAAACGTCGACAATGTTTCTTTAAGGAACCATAAATATAGCAAAACGTAGTTTCATGTTATTTCATTATGCGGTTTGCATTATTTATTAAAAAGGCAAAAAAAAATCATGTAAAAGATAAAAATTGTTTTTTATTTCCTTTTTTTGGAAATTTGTAAGTCGTTTATAATATCGATTACATATTTTAAAATATAGAAATATTTCACATGAAAAAAAAAAAAAATCATATTATTAGAATAGTTGCACTAATACGCGTGCTATTTAGAAATTTTAAGTAAATAAAAAAAAAATATGTATAAGTTATTAAATAAATATATACATTTTAATCGTCGTGTGAAAAAAAATAATTCACAACTGAATGTAGATTAATGAAAATAAAAAAAAAAAAAGAAAAAATAACTCATGATCTTAATAAACAAAAAAATACATAATTATTGACTTGTTTTTTTTACCGTCTCCTCTTTCTTTTTTTTTAATCTTTTTTTAAATATTAATTTATTTATCTGTTATTTTTTTAACAATTTTTTTTATTTGATTAAAAAACAAAGAACAATAATTATTTTATTTTCTTTATTTAATATTCATCTTTTTCTAATTAAAAAAAATTTATTTATTTACACAAATTTCCCATAATATTCTTTAAAAATTTTTTTTAGAAATTTTTAATTAAAATTTTTTATAACATTTTTTGTTTTATTTAATTTTTTATTTTTTATTTTAATTTAATTTTTAACATTTTTAATTTTGTTTTCAATTTAAATTTTAACATTTTCAATTTTTTGTTAATTTAATTCATTTTTAAAATTTTTAATTTTTGTCATTTTCAATTTTTTTTTTTTAAATTAATTTATTTTTAAGATCTTTAATTTTTTGTAATTTTCATTTTTTTTTTAAATTTAATTTTTAGCATTTTCAATTTTTTTTTTAATTTAATTTATTTTAAGATTTTTCATTTTTTTGTAATTTAATTTTTGTCATTTTCAATTTTTTTTTTTTAACTTAATTTATTTTTAAGATTTTTAATTTTTATTTGTAATTTTCAATTTTTTTTAAATTTAATTTTTAGCGTTTTCAATTTATTTTATTTCAATTTAATTTTTAATATTTCCAATTTTTTTCAAATTTAATTTTAATTATTTTTATTTAATTTTTTTATTTAATTATTAACATTTTATTTATTTATTTATAATAATAAAAACGGACTATCAAAATAATAAACAATAGTTAAATTTAAAATTTTACTTTTTTTTATTTTAATTTACTTTTTAATATTTGTTTATTTTTAATTTTTAACGATTTTTTAATTTTATGTAATTTAATTTTCGTCATTTTCAATTTTTTTTATTTATTTTTTATTCATTTAGTTTATTTTTATTCATTTTTATTATTATTATTATTACTATTATTATTATTATTTAATCATATTTCATGCCTTTCGGCTTGGTACGAACTTCCTATGTACTATTTTTATTTTATTTATTGTACTTTTATTTTATTAATTAATTTATTATTATTATTATTATTAGGTATTTGAATTACCACCATTTGATAAATTCAAATATTCGCAATTTACGCGCCAAAAGAGAGCCGCAAATTTGTCCAAAAATCTGCAATAATAATGATGATAAAACAGATTTTCCAATTATCGACAGTCAACAAAGTATTAAGCAAACACTAGATTAGACGTTCCTTTTAAATGACTTCTTAATAGATGAATTTTTTTTTTTTTCCTCATATATACATTGAATTTTTCAAATAATGAATAAGTTATTCAATTTCAATTAAATTCAAATATTAGAATAATTGTGTACTTGTGTGTATATAATGAAATCATAAAAGATTTTTGTTTCACAATATGGCGAACTTTGACAAAGGACGCAGGAAGTGGGGAGAAATTTCACAAGGTACTTTAGATATTTCTAAATATTGTTTTTTTTTTTTTTTCCTTTTTTTTTTTTTAAATTAGAAAAATAATATCACAATTCAATTATTTATTAATTATGAGAAATTTTGTTTCATTATTTAATTTTTCATTGTATTTCATTTGTTATATATTTATTTGAAAATTTAACCTCACCAAACAAGCTAACCTCAAAAATGAGAAAATTTATTTGTCGAAGTTTGCATTGTTATAGCGAAAATTATTTCTTATCATCGTTATATATTTTTATATATATATATAGAGTGATTTTTGTATTTTATTTTTTGTTTCTTTCTAATTCTAAAATAGGGAAAAATTTAGAGTAAGCTGACAATTTTGTGTTTTTGTTTTTTAAAATAATTTTTTTTTTTCACTTTGCAAAAAACAAAAACTGATGAGCTTTTTTTTTTTTTAATAAAAATAGTTAATAACATTTGTTTTCAATATTTTTGTTTTTTTTTTTTGGAATACTTTTTATTTTTGGTCTGTTTTGTATAATTTTCTCGAACAATGGTTTTGTAAATTAAAATTTGTTTTTGTTTTTTAACAATCAAATTTTTCTCCAAACATAGGCAATTTTTTGTGAAAATAAAAATTTTCTCGAGATTAATAAAAAGGGGAAAATTATTTAATTTTTTTTTTTGAAAAAATACGATTTTTCCTCGATATTAATAAACAATTATTATTATTATTATTAATATAATATTAATTATTTTTGTTTTTTAATTTTTTTTTCGTCCGATTTAACCTTAAAAAAAAAGAATAGAAAATCATTTTCGATGAAATTAAAAATTAAAAAAATCAAAAGCTATAGAAATAAATAAAAGTTAAGTAAAAAAAAAAAAAAATAAATTTTTCTCATTTAGAAAACGAAAATTACAAATACGACGATAGATTATCGGGAATGCGAGGAGGCGGTGGAAATCGTGCACCACCTCAGGCTCTTTACCGACCTGGGAGTGGACCATTGAGAAAATCGGGTCGTCCTGATGAATTTGAAAATGAAAATAATTTCCATCATCACGATAGATCGTCATCGTCATCGTCAAAATCACAGCCACCATCGATTGCCACATCATATCGTATGAGAAATTGTCAATTTTCAAATTCAAATCAAGAAAAAAATATTACAACAACAACAACAACAACTGAAATTGATGATGTTGCAACAAAATTTAATGATTTACAAGTCAACTATAAAAATAGTAATCATCAAAATCAAGGACCATCGAAAATTAATCACATGTCCATTGTTGATCCACGGAAAAAAAATAAAAAACCCGAACAACAATTGTATGTACCAAAAAAAGTGAAGGAGGCATTGGCTGAAAGAGATGTGATAAATAGGTATTTTAATAATTATTTTAACAAATTTTTAAAAATAAAATTATGTTAATTAATTTAAAATAATTTATAATAATTTATAATAATTTATAATAATTAATTTATAATAATTTATAATAATTTATAATAATTAATTTATAACAATTTATAATAATAATTTATTTTCATTATATAATACCTTACATAGGTCTTTACAAATTTCTATAAACTAGAAAAAATCAAATTAATTTAAATTAAAATACTAATTAATTTATAATAATTTTATAATAATTAATAAGAAGCACAAAATACTTCTTCTTTTTTTTTTTTTTTTTTTTTACATTTTTTACAAAGTTTTTTAAATAAAATACCTGATTTTTAAAATTTAATACACATCTTCTTTAGATTTTCTTTATTTTAATTTTATTTAATAAATTTTTAATTAAAAATTTCTTCTCAAAACAAAATTTATTTTCAATAATTTTAATGAAATTCTTTAAAACTTCAATTATAAACTATTTTTCAAATTAAAATTTTTAGAAAATTTAATAATAGTTTAAAAAAAAAAAAAAAAAATAGTTTCAGCAAATAAAATTTATCGAAAATTTTAATTAAAAAAATCAAATAAAAAATCAATTATTTTCAAAAAATTTTAATTCAAAAAAAAAATTCTCAAAAAAAAAAATGGAATTATTTCCTTAATTTTCCCCTCAAAAAACTTTTTGAAATTTAATAATTTCAATTAATTGAAGTAAAAATTTTAATTATTTCCCAAAATTTGAATTTAAATTAAATTATCTTTAATTCAAAATCAATTAAAATTCAATTATTTTCCAAAATTTTAATTATTTTTAATATTTCAATTGAAATTCAATTATTTTTAATATTTTCAATCAAAAATCAACTAAAATTGATTATTTTTCAAAATTTCAATTAAAAAATCAATTAAAATTCAAATATTTTTAAAAATTTTAATTCAAAATCAGCAAAAAATCAATTATTTCCAAAAAATTAAATTTAAAAGCTTCTAAAATTTAATTATTTCCTAAATTGTCACTCAAAAACTTTTTGAAATTTAATAATTTCAATTATAATTCTTCGTAAATTCAATTATAAACTATTTTTCAAATAAAAATTTTAGAAAATTTAATAATAGTTTTAAAAAAAATAGTTTTAGCAAATAAAATTTATCGCAAATATTAATTAAAAAATCAACTAAAAAATCAATTATTTTCAAAAAATTTTAATTCAAAAAAAATTTTCAAAAAAATGGAATTATTTCCTTAATTTTCCCCTCAAAAAAAACTTTTTGAAATTTAATAATTTCAATTAATTGAACTAAAAATTTTAATTATTTCCCAAAATTTTGAATTTAAATTAAATTATCTTTAATTCAAAATCAACTAAAATTCAATTATTTTCAAATATTTCAATTATTTTTAATATTTCAATTTGAAATTCAATTATTTTTAATATTTTCAATCAAAAATCAACTAAAATTAATTATTTTTCAAAATTTGAATTAAAAAATCAATTAAAATTCAAATATTTTCAAAAAAAAATTTTAGAAAATTTAATAATAGTTAAAAATTAAAAAAAAAATTTCAGCAAATATAATTTACCGAAAATTTTAATTGAAATTCAATTATTTTCAAAAATTTTAATTCAAAAATTCTCAAAAATTCAATTATTTCCTAACTTTTCCCCTCAAAATGTTTTTGAAATTTAATAATTTCAATTAATTGAACTAAAATTTAATTATTTTCCAAAATTTGAAATTACATTAAATTATCTTTAATTCAAAATCAATTAAAATTCAATTATTTTCCAAAATTACAATTAAAATTTAATTATTTTTCAAAATTTCAATTGAAATTCAATTATTTTCCAAAATTTCAATTGAAATTCAATTATTTTCAATATTTCAATTGAAATTAATTTATTTTCAACTTTTCAACTTTTTAACTTTTTCCCAAAGCAAATGCAAATTAAATAGTTTTCCTTCACACTCAATTATTAAGCGTGTGATATATATTTATTAAATTACTAATTATTTACTACTATTTATTGAATCTAATAAATGATTTTTTAAACTTGAATAACAATTAACTAATTTTTTTTCAGTGAAATATTTGGTTTTTTTTTTTAATAAAAATAAAAAATTATTTGATACAATTTTATTTTATCGGTTTCAACTTCAAATAAAGTAAATTATTCATTAATACGAATAATCTATTATTTAATTGCCAATAACTCACATTTAATTTATAAAAATTTTTACACCGTCGAATATTAAATAATCGAATTTATATTTAGCAAAATTGTATAAAGTAGATTTTATATTTTGCAAAATTTTCAATTTACGTTTAACTAAAATTCGATTTAATTTTTATTTAACAAAACTCTTATAAAGCATTTTTTTAAATACTTTTTTAAAAAATTTAAATTAATATAATTTCAATTTAACGAAATTTATGTCTTGAAAAATTGACAAAAAAAAAAGAGAACTAAGTAGAATTTTTCATAAATGAGAATTCTGTTAAATAAGAATTAGTTGGAATTAAAATTTTCATTAATGAAAACTTTGTTTAATTAAGAATTTTGTTAAATAGAAATTCTGTTAATTGTGAATTTATTCAATGACAATTCTATTAAGTAAATATTTTGATAAATCGAAATTTACTAAAATAACAATTCAGTTTAAAAAAAAAATGTTTCTTTATGCTATTTTTGCTTGACAAAAATTCCGTTAAATTGAAATTGTATTAATTTAAAATTCGATGTACTACAATAATCTGCCTGATTTAAGCAGTTTATTCGAATTAAAAAAATTTTTCATAATTTTTAGTTTTTGATGGTCAAAAAAATTTCAGACAATACTTAATCAAGTTTTACAGATTTTTAAATAATTTTTTTTTTTAAATAATAATAATAATTTTGAGAGAGTTAAAGTTGAATTTTTAAGAAATAATTGAATTTCAAAATATTTTGTTAATTTTCAGAAAATAATTAAATTTTACAGAACTAAAAATAATTTATCAAATAATTTTTGGATAACATTTTTTAAAAGTAATTGAATTTTCAAAGATTTAAAAATTTTGATTTTTAAAATTAATTGAACTTGAAGTGATTTTTAATTTATAATTTTTAAGGATTTCATTAAAAAATTTATTAGAAATTACAGACAAAAATATAATAATTTCAAAAATTTTTAAGCGAAAAATGGTATCAGATAGTTAAATTTTCCGAAGAGTAAATTAAAAATAATTGAAAATTTTGAAAATAATTAAATTTTACTTTATTGTAAATTAAAATTTTTCAAAATAATTGAATTTTAGTTGATTTTGAATTGATAATTTTGAAAATATTTGAATTTCAATTGAAAATTTGGAAAATAATTGAATTTCAATGGAAATTTTTGATAATCATTGAATTTTAGTTGATTTTTGATTAAAAATTTTGATAATAATTAATTTCGAATTAAAATTTTTAAAAATAATTAAATTTCAATTGACATTTTGGAAAATAATTGAATTTTGGTTGATTTTGGTTTGAAATTTTTGATAATAATTGAATTTCACTTGAAATTTTTGATAATAATTTAATTTTAGTTGATTTTTTATTGAAAATTTTGATAATAATTAATTTTGAATTAAAATTTTTGAAAATAATTGAATTTTCTTTGATTTTGAAAATAATTGAATTTACTTTGATTTTGAATTGAAATTTTGGAAAATAATTTAATTACAATTGAAATTTTGTATAACAATTTAATTTTAGCTGATTATTGATTGAAAATGTTGATAATAATTAATTTTGAATTGAAATTCTAAATAATTATTGAATTTTAATTGATTTTAAATAGAAATTTCGGGTAATATTTGAATTTTATTTGATTTTAAATTGAAAATTTGGAAAATAATTTAATTTTAGTTGATTATGAATTCAAAATTTTGAAAATAATTGAATTTACTTTTATTTTAATTTGAAATTTTGCGAAATAATTGAATTTTAATTGAAATTTTCGTTAATAATTCAATTTTAGTTTATTTTTGATTGAAAATTTTGATAATAATTAATTTTGAATTGAAAAATTGAAAATAATTGAATTTCAATTGAAATTTCTGAAAATAATTGAATTTTAGTTGATTTTGAATTGAAATTTTGGGAAATAATTGATTTTTAACTGAAATTTTGGATAATTATTCAATTTTAGTTTATTCTTCATTAAAAATTTTGATAATTACTTTTGAATTGAAATTTTAAATAATTATTGATTTTTAAATGATTTTGAATTGAAATTTTGGGTAATATTTGAATTTTATTTGATTTTTATTTGAAAATTTGGAAAATAATTAAATTTTAAAGGTTTTTGAATTGAAAATTTGGGAAATAATTGAATTAAAATTTGTAAAATAATTGAATTTTTTTTATTTTAAATTGAAAATTTGAAAAGTAAGTGAACTTTAATGGATTTTGAATTGAAATTTTTGATAATAATTCAATTTTAGTTGATCATGAATTCAAAATTTTGAAAATAATTGAATTTACTTTTATTTTGAATTGAAATTTTTAGAAATAATTGATTTTTAACTGAAATTTTGGATAATTATTCAATTTTAGTTTATTCTTCATTAAAAATTTTGATAATTAATTTTGAATTGAAATTTTAAATAATTATTGATTTTTAAATGAATTTGAATTGAAATTTTGAGTAATATTTGAATTTTATTTGATTTTTAATTGAAAATTTGGAAAATAATTAAATTTTAAAAGTTTTTGAATTGAATATTTGGGAAATAATTGAATTTTATTTGATTTTAAATTGAAAATTTTGAAAATAATTGAATTTTTTTTTTATTTTAAATTGAAAATTTGGAAAGTAAATGAATTTTAGTTGATTTTGAATTGAAAATTTTGAAAATATATAAATCTTAGTGAATTTTTGATTGAAAATTTTGAAAATAATTGAATTTCAATAGACATTTTGGAAAATAATTGAATTTTGGCTGATTTTGAATTGAAAATTTTGAAAATAATTGTTTTTGAATTGAAATTTTTCAAAATAATTGAATTTTAGTTGAATTTAAAATGAATTTTTTGAACATAATTGATTTTTAGTTGATTTTGAATTGTTCTTTATGCAATTTTTCTTGACATAAATTACATTAAATTGAAATTTTATTAATTTGAAATTCGATGTACTAAAAAATCTACTTTATATAATTTAAGATAACAAATTTGATAATTTGAGATTTTACGCCGTAAAATTTTTTTTTTTAAATTAAATGTTAATACGTCTCTAATTAAATTATTTATTTCACTTAAATATTTTATTTTTTTTTACGAAATATTATTTATTTGGTTTCAAATACATATATATATGAAATTAGTGGATATAATAGACAGGTAAATTATTTAATTGTATATTAAAATAAATTTTATTTGATCGAAATAAAAATTTTTTTACTGTAATTTAGATCAAGAAAAAGTTAGGGAATTTTTGTTTCCTAGTTATTAGACATTCTGATTGAGGATTATTAATGATTAAAAAATGTATATTTTTGTTTGTGTAATCATTACAATTGAAGAAATTGTTGTTGAGAGATAAATTTTTTTTTTAGATCGCCTGTTCATCATAATTGGGAGAAGGATCGTGAACGTGATGATCATAGAGATTGGGATATTCGATCAAATCGCAATCAACACAGTGACAATTATCGTAATCGTCCAATTGCTCTAAATCAAACTGACAGTATTCGTCGAAATGACGATCACAGCAAAAGGTATTCAGGTAATCGTCGAAATCGAAATCCAGGTGAAAATGAAGATCGTTGGAGATCGGATTCACCATCGGGCAAGAATTATGGTAATAGAAGAGACAATTCACGTGAGGTTCGACAGGTAAAATATTTCTCCTTTTTTTTTTTTTTTATTTTTTAATTTAATTTTATTATTTTCATTTTACAATTTAGAATTATTTATTTAAATTTCAATTAATTTACATTTTTAAAAATTAAATGTATTTTTTAATTATATACAACTTTTAGTTTTTATATATCTTTTGTAGGATTTTATTTTTTTCGTGAGGAAATAAATTTTTCTTTGTTTCTTGTCACACAATATAGGGTTCGGAGCCTTTATATATACCATCAAATAATAAATTCGATACAAATCGAATTCGTGACACAAGAAGTGTTGAGCCAGGCTATCCTGACAAATTTCAGGGTAAACCACCATCGGGTAGACATGGAATGAAAGAATGTACAATTCCGAAGAATACAAAATTAGAATCGCTACCACCTCGTTTTAGAAAAAAATATCTTGCTGAAAATGGATTTTTACAATCTTCTAATAATATTGGCGTCTCATCGGAGGAAGCTTGGGATGGAAGTACTGTGACATTTCAGGTATTGATTTTTAAAATATATTTTTATTTTTATATATTTTTATAAGGCGCAAAATTAATTCATTATATAATAAAAAAAATATATTAAATAGTAAAAAAATAATAAATTTAGTAAAAAATTATTTGTTTTTGCAATTTAATTAAAAAAAAAAGGGATCGTCTCGTTTTCCTCCGGCTATTCAACATTCTCATACAATGCAAAATTTGCCACCGTCTGGTCCATTGCCACCTCAGACAAGTTGGTCGAACACAGTACCTGTTCGAAGTCGAGGACGAGGAAGACATAGAAATGATGATTTAGAAAATTCAGCGGCATTCAGACCTGTTACACCAGATCAGTATTCGGCGCAGAGTTCACGATCGCATACACCAAGCCAGGATTATGGTAATCGGTAAGTTTTTTTTTTTTTTTTTTTTTTTTTTAAAAAAAAGAAAAATTATTTAAAAAGAAAAAAAATAATATGTGAAATTTTAATAAATTGTTCTTTTTTTTTTCTGTGAAATAGTTATTACGATCGACGAGGAAGTAACAGTACAATGTATACCAGTATCGAGAGCTTAAATCGAATGGATAGCATGTTAATGCCACCTCCACGTGCACCTTCACCAGCGAGTTCTATTCCCTATAGAAATACATGTCCCTCGCCTGATAATCAATGGTCTTATAAAAAGTAAGTAAAATAGATTTTTTTTTAATTTTTCCAAGTTTTCGTTCTTTTTTTTGTGCATTTAAAATTATGTTCAATCAACAAAATCAATATATTAAATAATAGATTATTTATTTAAATTTCAATAAATAAATAAATAATTTCAATTTATTATAACAGGCCTCAGATTATACGACTTTTTCGACTATTTCCGACTTTTTTTCGACTTATTTTAATAAAATGCGACTATTTTGATTTTTTTTACATTTTTAGAAAAAAAATTTTTTTAATAAAATATCTATTTTTTTTAGTATAAAATGCAGATCTTCTTCAGATCTTCTTTATTTCAATTATTTAACAAATTTTTAATTAAAATTCTTCACTAAATTCATTATTTTTAATAATTTTAATGAAATTCATAACAAAATTCAATTATTTCAAAATTATTTTTTAATTAAAATTTTTTTTAAATTTAACAATTGTTTATAATTAAAAAAAAAAAAAATATCAAATAAAATTACCAAAAATTTTTAATTCAAAATCATTAAAAATTTAATTATTTTCCAAATTTTTAATTCAAAATCAACTAAAATTCAATTATTTTTGAAATTTTCAATTTAAAATCAAATAAAATTCAATTATTTTCAAAATTTTCCATTAAAATTAAATTATTTTCAATTTTTCAATTAAAAGTCAATTATTTTTAAATTTTTCAATTCAAAATCAACAAAAATTCAATTATTTTCGAAATTTTCAATTTAAAATCAAATAAAATTCAATTATTTTCAAAATTTTCAATTCAAAATCTTTTAAAATTCAATTATTTTCTAAATTTTCGATTCAAGATCAACTAAAATTGAATTATAATAAATTTCAATTGAAATTCAATTATTTTTAAAAATTACAATTCAAAATAAAAAAAAATTCGATTATTTTACAAATTTTGATTCAAAATTAATTATTATCAAAATTTTTGATCAATAATCAACTAAAATTAAATTATTATCCAAAATTTCAATTAAAATTCAATTATTTCCCAAATTTTCAATTCAAAAACTTTTAAAATTTAATTATTTTCCAAATTTTCAATTAAAAATCAAATAAAATTCAAATATTACTCAAAATTTCAATTCAAAATCATTTAAAAATCAATAATTATTTAAAATTTCAATTCAAAATTAATTATCAAAATTTTTAATGAAGACAAAACTAAAATTGAATAATTATCCAAAATTTCAGTTAAAAATCAATTATTTCCCAAAATTTCAATTCAAAATCAACTAAAATTCAATTATTTTCAGAAATTTCAATTGATATTCAATTATTTTCAATTTTTCAATTCAAAATTAATTATTATCAAAATTTTCAATCAAAAATAAACTAAAATTGAATTATTAACGAAAATTTCAATTAAAATTCAATTATTTCTCAAAATTTCAATTCAAAATCAACAAAAATTCAATTATTTTCGAAATTTTCAATTTAAAATCAAATAAAATTCAATTATTTTCAAAATTTTCAATTCAAAATCTTTTAAAATTCAATTATTTTCTAAATTTTCGATTCAAGATCAACTAAAATTGAATTATAATAAATTTCAATTGAAATTCAATTATTTTTAAAAATTACAATTCAAAATAAAAAAAAATTCGATTATTTTACAAATTTTAATTCAAAATTAATTATTATCAAAATTTTTGATCAATAATCAACTAAAATTAAATTATTATCCAAAATTTCAATTAAAATTCAATTATTTCCCAAATTTTCAATTCAAAAACTTTTAAAATTTAATTATTTTCCAAATTTTCAATTAAAAATCAAATAAAATTCAAATATTACCCAAAATTTCAATTCAAAATCATTTAAAAATCAATAATTATTTAAAATTTCAATTCAAAATTAATTATCAAAATTTTTAATGAAGACAAAACTAAAATTGAATAATTATCCAAAATTTCAGTTAAAAATCAATTATTTCCCAAAATTTCAATTCAAAATCAACTAAAATTCAATTATTTTCAGAAATTTCAATTGATATTCAATTATTTTCAATTTTTCAATTCAAAATTAATTATTATCAAAATTTTCAATCAAAAATAAACTAAAATTGAATTATTAACGAAAATTTCAATTAAAATTCAATTATTTCTCAAAATTTCAATTCAAAATCAACTAAAATTCAATTATTTTCAAAATTTTCAATTAAAATTAAACTATTTTCAATTTTTCAATTTAAAGTCAATTATTTTCAAAATTTTCAATTCAAAATCAACTAAAATTAAATAATTATTTTAAATTTCAATTCAAAATTAATTATTATCAAAATTTTCAATCAAAAATCAACTAAAATAAAATTATTTTCAAAATTTTCAATTCAAAATCTTTTAAAATTCAATTATTTTCAAATTTTTCAATTCAAAATCAATGAAAATTAAATTATTATTCAAAATTTCAATTATGATTGAATTATTTTTAAAAATTTGTAAAATATTTTTGTTAAAAGAAAAAAAAATCGACTTTTTTTGTAATATAAATCGACTAAAACAACATTTTTTTTCTGCCTTTAAGTCAATCCGAGGCCTGTAAATTATATTAAATTATTAGGTTTTAAAATATTTATTTTTTTACAGTGAAATATAATTAATAACTTGTTAATAAATCTAACGATTTGTTATTAACTAATTTTAATTAATTAATTAACTAATTTCGTTTTGTTTCATAACTTAATTTTTTTTAAAATATTGATTAATTAATTTATTTACAGAATTTTGTTTATTTATTTTTCTATTTTTTCTTTGAAATTGAAAATCTTATTCAAATGTTTTTTTTTCTCTGCAGTCAAAGATCAAATGCGCAAGAAATGCAGAAATCTCAAACGATTTCAAATGTTACTTCACCGAAGAGTGAAACCTTTGATTCACTGCCTGAAAAAACTGATACTTTGGTAAGTTTGAAACAAGAAACTAATTTTGTAACTAGAAATTAGATTTATTTTATATTTATTAATTTTTTTTTAAATTTATTTATTTACTTCCTTTAATATTGATTAAATTTTTTTCTATTTTTCAATTTTTTTTTTTATTTTTATTGAAATTCAGATTCTCTTGTCCCATTTTCGAATAAATTGCATCTGATTTTTTTTCTTCGATATTTTCAATATATTTTTCCTATTTTTTTTCCATTTATTTTGGTCTATTTTCTATTTTTTTAAATGTTCACTTTGTGTGTGTTTTTTTTTTTTAAATCTAGGATTGGGGAGAGGAGGTGGAGTTGAATGAAAGACTAGAAGCTGAACAATTGAGTCGTAGCTCATCTGTATTGAGTTTGCGGGGCAATTCAAATACAAATCAATCAACGGCAGGAGGAAGTAAAAAGAGGAAAAAAAATAGAAGAGGAGGTCGCGATAGGTGAGAAATATTCTTTTTCATATTTATTATTTTACATAAAAAAAGAAAAAAACAGAAAAACAAAAATACAAAAACCTAGTTAAAAAGAAATATGTGAACGTAGCTAAAAAAACGAAAAGTTGTTTTAAAATAAAAATTTCTAAATTTATATTTAATTAATAATTAGTAATTAGGGTCAGCCGGGGTAAATCCGAACGCTAATTATTTCAGCTTAATTAAAATTTTTAAAAATAAGTTCGATATGAGAATTTATACCTCAGATCCTCTTGAAGAGATTCTAAGTATTATCCCATTTTTCGTTTGTTAATTAGCAACAGCATAAACAAAGATAACGAGTATTGCAAAAAAAATTGAAAATCAAAGTTGACACTCTTTCAGTATTTTGTCTCGTATTTGAAGAAAAAGAAGCTAAAAATTTATTTTATTATTTATAATTGTTTATTATGAATACTAGAACAGAAACTATTTTTGATTTTTTCCTTCTGTAAAATTTTATTAATAATATCAGACCGTTCGTATATTTACCCAGGAAAATTGGAAAACCGGGGTAAATCCGAACGGTATTTTCAATAATTTTTTTTTTACATCAGAGCCACACAAAATTGTTTTTATTTCATTACACTATTATTTTAACATTATAAAAGTATATAGAAAAAAGTTTTTCTTTCTATACGTATCCTTGTTAGTAATTAATAAGCAGAAACTTAATCTCTATTCTCTCGAAGGAGTGTTTCAATTTTTTTGCCAAATGATTTGTTGAAAAAAGTTTTTCAGGATCTTAATAAAATTTGGTATTCTACGGTTTTTGGGGTCGCTAATTACCAATTTGAAGTCAGTTTTTCAAAATTCAAAATAGCGGACGAGAATTAAAAAATTCATTGGATTCGCTCGAAAATTGTTACTCGGGGGGTTTCAGGGTCGCTGATTACGAATTTGGAGTTAGCAAATTTCATCATTTTTAAAAATAAGTTTTAGGAAAGTCCGCCATTTTGAATTTAAAAAATTTGACATTTATTTTTGTATTTACATTCAATCACTCCAAAATACTTTCTGTAGCAAGTTTTGCAAAAATCCGTTATGATTTGATAAAGTTATTGAAGGTTTTAATTGTGTAATGCATTTTAATTTTTAACCTGTTTGATATTTGTATTTATATATATGATGCATTATTACATAATAGGTTTATTATCGTATTTTTTTTGAGTTTTTATATAAGTTTAACAATTGCAATACTTTAAATTTATTTTCCCTAAGATTTTTCTGAAATACAGTGGCGTTCGTATTTACCCCGGTATATTTTAGGAAAGTTGCAAAGTATCGCGAGGTAAATACGAACGCAAAGTTTCCTGCGATTGTAATTTATCAAAAATTTTTGCTACCTCATAAAATTGTTCTATGGAAGTAAAGTAACAACTTCATGCACCAGAATACCGGAAGTATTTTTTTTTTTTTTAAAGAAAAAACTTATGTTATTGTTGAAACTTACTAAAAGCGTTCGGATTTACCCCGGTTGACCCTAATAAATAATTATGTAAGGAAAAAAATTCTATAACTAAAACAAAATTCTTTTTTTTTTTTGTTTGCTAAAGAAGTGGAACAAGGGACAGATTCCAAGAAACAAGCCGCGAACGACAGAATAATCAGCAAAATAGAGAAAATGATAATTACAATAATAATCAGAATAATAGTCGAAGATTTGATAATCGACGACGTAGCTCGATTCAACGTAGCCGCGAGTCAAGCAAAGAGAGAAATCGCGGTAGAAATCATGATGATTTTTATAGAAATAGGTAAATAAATAAAAAAAAAAAAAAATTACGTTTTGGAATTCTCTTTTTTTCCAAAAGAAAAATCTTCTTTTTAAAAAAATAATTTCTATGCAATTATTTCTTCTTTTTTTTTATTACAAATAAGGAAGTGGAATTTTCTTCCTTTTGGAAAAAAAATTTTTTCAAATTATTTCTCTTCTTTTTTTCCAATGAAGATTTTTCTTCTTTTTTGTAAAAAAATAATTCCCTTGGAATTATTCTTAATTTTTTTTCCAAAAAAAAAAAAAAAAAAAAGAAATAGAATTCTTTTTGAAAAAAAAATTCCACCTCTGAGCAGTTTATTAACTAATTTATTTTATTTTTATTGTTTTTAATAGAATATCAGATCAGCCCTCGGATGAAAATTGGAGATCGGGAAGACGAATTTCAATTTGCGATTCGGAGGATGGTCGACGAACGCCATGTTCATCGTCACATTCCACTGTAGCTAATTCCTTGCATCAATCACCATCGGGTTTTAATAATTCACAACCAGGTGTTCTTGTTTTACCTGATACAAATAGTTTTCAACTTAGTACAACACCACCTAGGCCACAGTCACATCAACAGCAACGCACTCTTTTTGATCCTAATAATCCTAATAAACCAATTATCGTCACTTCCTCAGGCGGTAGAACAGGACCAAAATTCAGGTAATTATAATCACTTTCATTTAATTAGTTAATTAATTTTTTTTTTAGTCTTCTATACTATAATTGGAAGATAGAATTATTATTATTTTTTTTATAATTTTAAAAATTGCATATGTTTTATTAATGTGTAAATTAATTTTTTTTTTTTTGTTTTTTGTTTATTTAGAGAAATGGAAGGAATAGCTCAACCTGATGTTCCTGTTTTTCAATCATTACCTGGAATGTTTACGAGTCATTCAAATTTTCAAGGTACACAAGGAGATGGTACGCCCACTTCTTATTTCAATGAACAACTTGGTAATTCTCGACCATCTTGGTATGATCCTTATTCAGAAAGGTAAATAAAAAATTGTCAAAAATTATAATAACATTAATATTAATAATAATAATAACAAATATTAATCATAATAATAGTAATCACAATTATAATTGGCTTCGTATCAACTTTATGGCGCAAAAATAGTAATTTTAGTCGATTTACATTAAAAAAATACGATTTTTTTTTAATTTGGATTTAAGCAATTTATTCGAATTAAAAAATTTTTGCATATATGGTTTTTAGTTTTAATTGTCAAAAAAAAAAAAAAAAAAATGTCGGACAATAATTAAGTTTTACAGATTTTTATATTAAATTTTCTTTTTAATAATTAAATTACAAAAGATTTTAAATTAAAAAAAAAAAAAAAATTTCTGAAAATTAAAACTGATGATGCTTTGTTTAAAATTTCTGACAAATATTCAATTTTAGAGTTTTTATTTGAAATTTTTTTTAAATAATTGAATTCTTAAAGAAATATGAAAATTATTAAAAATAATTGAATTTTAAAAGAGTTGCAGTTGAAAATTTTCAAAAATAATTTGAATTTTTAAAGAAATATTAAAATTATTAAAAATAATTGAATTTTAAAAGAGTTGCAGTTGAAATTTTCAAAAATAATTGAATTTTACAAAGATTTACAATTCAGATTTCTAAAAATAATTAAACTTCATGTGATTTTTTTAATAAAATTTAAAAAAAATTTCTGTTACTGAAGAAAAAAATTGATTTTGAATTAAAATTTTGGATAATAATTGAATTTCAGTTGATTTTGAATTGAAAATAATAAAATTAATCGATTTTGAATTGAAATTTTGGAAAATAATTGAAATTAACTTAATTTTTGAATTGAAAATAATAATAAAAAATTGAATTTTAATTGAAATTTTAGAAAATAATTGAAAATAATCGAATTTCAATGAAAAAATTTTGAAAATAATTAAATTTTAGTTGATTTTGAATTGAAAAATTTAAAAATAATTGACATTCAATTAAAAAATTGAATATAATTTAATTTCAATGAAAATTTCATAAAATATTTGAATTTTAGTTGATTTTGAATTGAAAATAATAATAAAAATCGAATTTTAATTGAAATTTTGGAAAATAATTCAAATTTAGTTGATTTTGAATTGAAATTATGGAAAATAACTTAATTTTAGTTGATTTTGAATTGCAAATAATAAAAATAATCGATTTTGAATTGATATTTTCGAACATGATCGAATTTTAATGAAAATTTTTGAAAATATTTGAATTTTAGTTGATTTTAAATTGAAAATTTTGAAAATAATTGAATTTCAATTGAAATTTTTGAAAATATTTTAATTTTAGTTGATTTTGAATTGAAAATAATTGATTTTGAATTGAAATTTTGGAAAGTAATTGAATTTTCTTTTATTTTGAATTGAAATTTTCGGAAATAATTGAATTTTGATTGAAATTTTCAATAATAATTCAATTTTAGTTTATTTTTGATTAAAAATTTTGATAATAATTAATTTTGAATTCTAATTTTGGATAATAATTGAATTTTATTTGATTTTGAATTGAAAATTTTGAAAATAATTGAATTCTTGTTGATTTTGAATTGAAAATTTTGAAAATAATTAACTTTCAATTGAAAAATTGAAAATAATTTTATTTTAATTGAAAATTTTGAAAATAATTGAATTTTATTTGATTTTGAATTGAAAAGTTTGAAAATAATTAACTTTCAATTAAAAAATTGAAAATAATTTAATTTCAATGGAAATTTTTTAAAATATTTGAATTTTAGTTGATTTTAAATTGAAAATAATAATAAAAATCGAATTTTAATTGAAATATTTGAAAATATCTTAATTTTTGTTGATTTTGAATTGAAAATAATTTATTTTGAATTGAAATTTTAGAAAATAATTGAAATTTAGTTGACTTTGAATTGCAAATAATAAAAATAATTGATTTTGAATTGAAATTTTGGAAAATGTTATTAATGCAAATAAAAAAAAAAAAAAAAAAAAAAAAATAATTTTGAAATGATCGAAGTTTTATTGAAAATTTTGAAAATAATTGAATTTTAGGTGATTTTGAATTAAAAAATTGAAAATAATTGGATTTCAATTGAAATTTTTGAAAATATTTTAATTTTAGTTTATTTTGAATTGAAAATAATAATAAAAATCGAATTTTAATTGAAATTTTGAAAAATAATTGTAGTTTAGTTGATTTTAAATTGAAAATTTTAAAAAACATTGAAGAAATTTTTAGTAATCACAGACAAAAAGTAAACTTAAAAAATTTTTTAAATTCACAAAATGTTTTAAAATAATTAAATTTTTGAAGAATATTATAAAAATTATTAAAAATAATTGAATTTTCAGGAGAGGAACAATTGAAATTACAAAATTTCAAAAATAATTTTAGATGAAAAATTTTTATAAATAATTAAATTTTTAAAGCTTTTAATTTGTTATTTTTGAAAATAATTGAATATTAAGTGATTTTAAATTGAAAAATTTTGGTTATTTTTATTTACTTATTTTTTTGTTTGTTAATTTTTTCAACAATTTATTGTTTTTAATACAATTTTTAATTGAAATTAGTTTTTAAAAAAAATTTAATTTTTTTTTCTTTATGAATTTCATTGATATTGTTGTTGTAAATAATTAATTTAGAGAAGAATTTCAGTTAAAAATTTGTTAAATAATTGAAATAAAGAAGATCTAAAAAAAATCTGCATTGTCTATTTAAAAAAAGAAAAAAAAACATATTTCATTGAAAAATTTTTTTATTAAAATAAAAAAAATCAAATAAGTCTCATTTTATTAAAATAAATCGAAAAAAGTCGTATTTTCGAAAAAAAATCGAAAAAATCGATTAAATCCAATGTCTGTTTAATAATAATAATAATAATAATAATAATAATAATAACAATAATAATATTAATAAATAATAAAAAAATTTTGTTTGCAATGTTTTGATAAAAATTTCTTTTTTTAATTTGCAGTTTTCGTTCGGCAAAACATCATTTTCTTCTATTGGACATTGAACGCGCCGATTTAGAATTACAATGGATTATAAGTTCCGGTGGTTTACAAACACATTGGGAACGTGTCTCTTATATTAGACATTTTTTGCAACAAAGTTTGCAAAATTTATTAGAAACAGATATTAAATTTTGTCAAAAAGAAAATGTTGAACAACATTTTTGGAAAATACTCTTTTACAATATGATTGAAATGTTAAGAAAAAATATGCCCAAGGAAAATGTTGAAGGACGCGAAAGATGTAAACAAATAATGCTCAATATTATTGATGAGGGTACAATTTATTTGGAAAATTTATTAACAATTATGGAGAGGGTTTATAATTTTAAAATTGATCTCTATTTAACATCATCAATATCACCAAAAGGATTAGGATTATTGGGTCTTGTTTTAATAAGTGCTCAAAAAATATTTTTATTTCTTGGCGATTTAGCACGTTATAAAGAACAAACAAATGAAACAACTAATTATGGAAAATCAAGACAGTGAGTTAATAATAATTATAATTATTTTTTGCAGTTTTTATGTCTTATATTTTCAAATGAAAAATAAGTATTTATTTTTTAATTTGATTTTTTTTTTTTTATTTGCTATTAATGATTGAATTTTTAATTTAGTTGGTACCTGAAAGCACAACAAATTAATCCGAAAAATGGAAGGCCTTACAATCAACTTGCTTTATTGGCGCATTACGCTGTAAGTTTTTTTTTTTTTCTTTTCTTTTAATAATTATTATTAAAATAATTATAGAAAAAAACTAATAATAATTTTTTACTTTAAGAAAAATAATTATAAATAAATTATTAAAATCGTATTAATTAGCTATTTTTGAATTTATTTTCGTTAAAAATAAAATTTTTAAATAAAATTAATAATTAAAAGTAATAATGAAAATTTATAAATAAAATTAATAATTAAAAGTAATAATAAAAATTTATAAATAAAATTTATAAATGAAAATTAATAATTAGAATTTGATAAATAAAATTGATTGAATAAAAATGATGAAATTGTTTTACAGAGAAGAAAATTGGACGCAGTTTATTATTATATGCGATCGTTGATGGCGTCAAATCCATTTCAATCAGCGAGAGAGAGTCTTATCGCCTTATTCGATGAAAATAGAAAAAAGGTGAGACAATTATTAAATAATTTACTCATTGATTTAACGTGTAATTGAATAATTAATTTAATTGTTTCTACCTCCTCTTTTTTTTTCTCTTTTTGCTGCCAGTATCTACATTATGTAAGTAAAATTCAATTCTGAAGCAAATTTAGAAGGATGCTTTAATTAGTTAGCTTCAATTTTTTTGATCTCGGCACGTCACTAGTTTACCTTGCAAAATAATAATAATAATAATAATAATAATTTATTTTCATATACTTTTTTTTTAGCTGAATCATTAAAAATTAGCATTTAATTTTATTTTACGATTTTTTTTTAAATTTCCAGTTATTGTTTTAATAATTTAAATAATTTTAATAATTATATTTTTTTTAGTAATTTTAATCATTATAGTTTTTAATAATTTTAATAATTATAGTTTTTAATAATTTTAATAATTACAGTTTTTAGTAATTTTAAAAGAATCCTTTTATAGATGTTTTACATTTGTTTTGATATTTAAAAAAAAAAAAAAATTTATTTGGTAATTCAATTTTAATGGACGATTCAAATTTTTCAAAAATTCTACATTAAAAGAAAAGAAAAGAAAATTTAAAATTTTTTTTTAAATTTAAAAATCTTAATTTAATTCACTGATTTTTTATTTTAATTTTAGGCAATGCTTTTAGATTTTTAACATAATTTTTCATTTTGTAGTTCTAACTTTTAATTTAGTGTAGAATTATTATTTATAGTTGAGGCCTCGAATTATATGACTTTTTCTGTCTTTTTTTTTACGAAATTACAAATTTTTCCGACTTTAACTTTTTTTAACGAAATTTTTAAACAAAATATTCGAAATAAATTTTATTGATAATATTCTTACAGAATTATTTGTATTAAGGAATTAATAAAATGAATTTAATATCTAATAAAATTAGTTATTTAAAGTAAAATATTTATTAACTATTATTATTATTTTATTATTATTATTATTGTTATTATTGTTATTATTTATTTATTTTGTTAAATTAACTAAATTTGAATTTAATTATTAAATTTTAACTAATTAAATTTAATTGAAATTAAAAATATTTGACTTTTTCTCCTTTTTTTGGAAATGTAAATCAAACGGAAATGACTTTTATTTTGCGCTTTAATGTGTGTCGATTCGAGGCCTGATAGTTTTAAAACACGTCAATTTCACTTTTTAGAGGTTTTTGCAGCATCATAAAAATTAATTTACAATGTAGATTATTTTTTCATTTAGTCTCCATTGCAAGGAAAATTGACATACAGACACACAAGTCACTTTAGTCTCATGATTATCCCATAAAAATTATTATTTACAATTTTCCCTTTTTAAAGAATTCTATTATATAATTATAATTAAAATATAATATTTTTTTTTTTTGCAAGAATTTTTCATTTTACGAATTAGCATTTGACAAAGAATATTTTAAAATTGTAATTTTTACAATATTAATTTTAATTTTTAAAATTTTTAAAAAATTTTTTTAGTTGTAAGTTTTTAACAAAATTTTTATTTCTTTCAAAATTCACATAAAAAATAATTATTTCCATATATTTAAATGGAAAATTCAAATTAATTATTATTTTTATTGGAATAATTATGTGTTTTGAAAGCACTTGACACTTTTTTTTTTTTGATAGATGAAATTTTTGAAAAAATAAAAAAGAAATGTGATTTTAATTTTTGAAAAATAGTATGAGTCCACCGAACGAAAAAGAAAAGAGGAACGCGAATGGAAGGAGAGAGCGCGAATGAAAGAAAAGGAAGGTTCCAACAATATTGGCGGAAGTTTGCGACGAGAAACATGGATTCATCCAGGCGGCAAACGTATGAGACGAACAACTTCCGCGACAACGGCTAACGAAACAATTATACCCGACAGCGATTCTGAGGATTTGTCGCAATTGACAAGTGTAGAGGTAATTGTTTTGCATTTTTTTTTTTTTACTATTTTTTCTATGATATTTAGTAATTTTTCGACTTCGTATTTTTTGTATTCAGTATTTTTTTTGCTATTTAATATTTTTCTATTTAGTATTTTTTGCTGCTTATTATTTATTTCTATTTAGTATTTTTTGCTATTTAGTATTTTTTTTTAGCTATTTAGTACTTTCCCAATTAGTATTATTTGCTATTTAGTATATTTCTATTTAGTATTTTCCTAATTAGTATTTTTTTGCTATTTAGAATTTTTTCGCTATTTAGTATTTTTTGCTATTTTGTATTTTTTTGCTATTTAGTATTTTTTGTTGTATAGTATTTTTTGCTATTTACTATTTTTCTATTTAGTATTTTTTGCTATTTAGTATATTTCTATTTATTATTTTCTATGTAGTATTTTTTGCTATTTAGTATTTTTTGCTGTATAGTAGTTTTTGCTATTCAGTATTTTTTGTTGTATAGTATTTTTTGCTATTTAGTATTTTCTGCTATTTACTATTTATCTAATTAATATTTTTTTGCTATTTAGTATTTTTTGCTATTTAGAATATTTCAATTAAGTATTTTTCTATGTATTATTTTTGCCTTTTTTTAATTTTTTTGCTATTTAGTATTTTTTTGCTATTTAGTATTTTCCTAATTAGTATTTATTGCTATTTAGTATATTTCTATTTAGTATTTTCCTAATTAAGAATTTTTTTGCTATTTAGTATTTTTCTATTTAGTATTTTTTCCTATTTATTATTTTTTTGCTATTTAGTATTTTTTTCTATTTACTATTTTTCTAATTAGTATTTTTTTGCTATTTAGTATTTTTTTGCTATTTAGAATTTTTTTGCTATTTAGAATTTTTTTTTGCTATTTACTATTTTTCTAATTAGTATTTTTTGCTATTTACTATTTTTCTAATTAGTATTTTTTGCTATTTACTATTTTTCTAATTAGTATTTTTTTGCTATTTACTATTTTTCTAATTAGTATTTTTTTGCTATGTAGTATTTTTTGCTATTTAATATATTTCTATTTAGTATTTTTCTATGTTGTATTTTTTGCTATTTAGTATTTTCCTAATTAGTAATTATTGCTATTTAGTATATTTCTATTTAGTATTTTCCTAATTAGTATTTTCCTAATTAGTATTTTTCTTTTGAGTATTTTTTGATATTCAGTACTTTTCTTTTTAGTATTCTTTGCTAATGATATTTTTCTAATCAGTATTTTTTTGCTATTTAGTATTTTTCTATTTAGTATTTTTTTGCTATTTAGTATTTTTCTATTTAGTATTTTTTTGCTATTTAGTATTTTTTTCTATTTACTATTTTTCTAATTAGTATTTTTTTGCTATTTAGTATTTTTTTGCTATTTAGTATTTTTTTGCTATTTAGAATTTTTTGCTATTTATTATTTTTCTAATTAGTATTTTTTTGCTATGTAGTATTTTTTGTTATTTAATATATTTCTATTTAGTATTTTTCTATGTTGTATTTTTTGCTATTATGTATTTTCCTAATTAGTATTTTTCGAATTAGTATTTTTTGCTATTCAGTATTTTTCTATTGAGTATTATTTATTTAGTACTTTTCTTTTTAGTAATTTCCTAATTAGTATTTTTTGCTATTTAGTATATTTCTATTTAGTATTTTCCTAATTAAGAATTTTTTTGCTATTTAGTATTTTTCTATTTAGTATTTTTGGCTATTTATTATTTTTTTGCTATTTAGTATTTTTCTATTTAGTATTTTTGGCTATTTATTATTTTTTTGCTATTTAGTATTTTTTTGCTATTTAGTATTTTTTGCTATTTAGTATTTTTCTTGATATTTAGTATTTTGTGCTAATTAGTATTTTTTAATTAAATCCTCAATTTTTGGTATTTTGTATTCCCTTTTCTATTTTCCATTTTGTATTTAACATTTTTTAATAAGTTTACTTTAGAAAATTTTTTTTTTCCTTTATATTTTTTTCTTTGGGAAAATAATGCCGTATTTCTTTGCAGGTGAACAAAAGATTTATCACTTCATATTTGCACGTTCACGGGAAGCTGATAACAAAAATAGGGTAAGTAACAACATTTTCATTTTTATTTTCCAACCAGAAAATAATACTTAAGCAAAATGGTTATTTCTTTAAAAAAAAAAATTTCACAATATATAAAAATTAGAAAACAAAACTCTCAATTCGAAAAATGAAAATTCGTCTAAAAAAAAGAAAACCGCAAAAAAATTATCTATATGGTAAATTTTTAAATTTAAAGGACCAAAAATTTCTTTTATTTAATTAATTTTTCCAAGTCAATTCGTTTTTCTCCGACCGAATACAAAAAAAAAAAAAATGAAAAAAATGAAAAAAACGAAAGCGAAATACTTTGGATGAATATTGCCCGTGGTGTACAAAAGAATATTGTAACGTAAGTGAATCCCATTTAGCTTTTACCTCTTTCTCGACAAAAGAAGCGGTTATTACCGTATCCGGATACTCGATGAATCTGAATGCAGGAGGCGAAGAGAACAAAGGGTTCCATGAGAAGAAACTTGTGGTTGAAGGGGGTGAAGAACGCACAAGTCTGTAATACAAAGCTGTTCCGTTGCTCGATTCTTGTATCCTATATATATATATATATATATACACTCTTTCACATTGAGTTGAGGAGAGATGCGAACAAATCGTTCTTCGGAAGCGAGGAAAAGTCGTGAGTTATTTCTAGCAATAATTATTACGTGTAAGGTGTAAACAGGTGGGAATAATCTTCAGTCTGCTGCTGTTGTTGCTGATTTTACTGCCATTCGAGGAATCGTAGTTTCTTTTTCTGTTTTTTTTTTTTTTTTTTTTTTATTTATTTTTCCTTTTTTCTCTTTTGACGTCTTTTAACGTTTACCAATCATCTTCAAGATCCTGGATAAATCCCTGTCTACTTGTGTGTCTACTCCTTTTTTTTTTTGTTTTTACAAAAATATCGGATATGGTTTTCAAATTTTAATTTACTGCCATGGAAAAATTATTAGCGTCTTTCGTTAAGCATCACCTGATGTTAGGTACACCTGATTTTAGGTTGCCAAAATTTTTTCAAATAATTTTGAGGATTTTTTTCCAATTTTCTCGAGGTATTAATATTGTCGTATTATCAAATATTTATTAACAAAAATAGGTATTCTTGCTACTAGAACATATGGGATAAACGTATTTTACGTTACAAAATTCTAATTTTTATTATTATTATTTTTGAATTAATTTTACAAAATATAGGTATTCTTGACACTAGAACATATCGGAATTATAAAAGTTTATTAGCAACTACTAAATAAGAAAATTATGAAAACTATGATTAGACAAAATGGGTATTCTTGCCACTAGAACATATCGGATTAACGTATTTTATGTTACAAAAGAGTAATTATTATTATTGTTATTTTTGGATTAATTCTAAGAAACAGGTATGCTTGCCACTAGAACATATGGGAATTATAAAATTTAATTAGCAAACACTAAATAGAAGCATTAATGATTATGACTAGACAGAAGGGGTATTTTTGTCACTAGAACATATCGGATTAACGTATTTTTTCTATTTCAATTTTCAAAACAGTATTTTTTGAATTAGTTTTACTAAACAAGCTGGTTTTGTAGCTACCCAACCATGCTTTTTAAATTTAGTAGAAAAAGTACTAGAATGTCAATGGAAGCAAGGTTGAGAAGTTAAATATCTCTAAAAGAAGATTTTTTTACTACCCAACCCTGTATTATTCAGTTAGGAAAAAAAGTAACTTGAGTTACCCTACCCTGGTGTGCAATTTTAGATAAAAGTCCCAAAAAAACGAAAATAACGAGTTTAGAAATTACTGCAAGTATATTTTTGCCTGCCCAACCCTGCATTTTCAAATTCTATATCTCCAAAAGCAGCTATTTACTACCCAACCCTGTTATATCGAGTTGGGAAAAAATATTAACTAGAACGATCCAACCTTGATAGGTAATTTTAGGCAAAAATCACAGAAGCGACAAAAAAATTAGGTTAGGAATCACTGGGAGTAATATTTTACTACCCAACCCTGCATTTTCTAGTTAGGAAAAAAGTTAAAGTCATCCAAACCTGCTATGGAATTTTACTCAAAAATCACAAAATTGAAAAAGAAATAAAATTAATTTTATAATTGTTATTTTTTAATTAATTCTAACAAACAGGTATGCTTGCCACTAGAACATATGGGAATTATAAAATTTAATTAGCAACAACTAAATAAAAGCAATAATGACATTAGAACTAAAAGGAGATTAGCGCCTTTCGTTAGGCATCACGCATTACTAGTTACCTACTCGCCATCTGTCATAATTTTTGTCAACTACCGCACCCTGCACAAGTAAAAATTTAGTAACTTTATAGTAACTTTAAATTTTAACAACAAAGTTACTAAATTTTTACTAATGCAGGGTGCGGTAATTGACGAGAATTATTACAGATGGCAAGTGGGGGACAATGGACATCAACATTTTGGCCTAAAATTACCAATCAGGGTTGGATCGTTCAAGTTAATTTCTTTTCCCAACTGGATAATTCAGGGTTGGGTAGTAAAAAGATCCTTTTAGAGATAACAAGTTTGGGAATTACTGGAAGTATGTTTTCGCCTGCCCAACCCTGCAGGTTGGGTCACTTAATTGTGTTTTTTTTTCTCTAAATTGTGATTACATGGTTGGGTAGTATCACTCACAGTGATACCCAAACTGGTTTTCTTTTTAATTTTATGATTTCTAAGTAAAATTCCATAGCAGGCTTGGATCACTCCAGTTAATTTTTTTCCTAATTAGCCAATGCAGGTGTGGGTAGCAAAATATTACTCCCAGTAATAACCTAACCTAGTTTCCTTGTCACTTCTGTGTTTTTTGTTTAGTTTCCATTGTCCCCCTTGCAGTTTGTCATAACTCTCGCCAACTACCGCACCCTGTTCTAGTAAAAATTTAGTAACTTTATAGTAACTTTTAATTTTAACAACAAAGTTATTAAATTTTTATTAAAGCAGGGTGCGGTAGTTGACGAGAATTATGACAATGGCGAGTGGCGACAGTGGAAACCAACCTTTTGCCTATAATTACCTATTAAGGTTGGATCGTTCTAATTAATTTCTTTTTCTCAAGTGGCTAATACAAGGTTGGGTAGTAAAAAGCTACTTTTTGAGATATACAATTTGAAAATGCAGGGTTGGGCAGGAAAAAAATACTTTCAGTAATTTCCAAACTTGTTATCTTGTTTTCCTGGGACTTTTACCTAAAATTACACACCAGGGTTGGGTAACTCTAGTTAATTTCATTTCCCAACTAGATAATACAGGGATGGGTAGTAAAAAACTTCTTTCTGAGATAATCAACTGCTCAATCTTGCTTCAATTGCCATTCTAGTACTTTTTTCTACTAAATTTAAAAAGCACGGTTGGGTAGCTATAAAACTAGCTTGTTTGGTAAAATTAATCCAAAAATTACTATTTTCAAACATAAATAATACATTAATTCAATATGTTCTAATTATCAGCCTAGGGAAAAAATTCTTTTTTCACTGTGTTATTGTTAATTATGTTATTTTTATTTCAAAAGTCACAGGCTTGAAATGAAAACTAGTTTAAGTATCACTGAAAGTAGTTTTTTACTGCTCAACCCTGCTTTCTATGTTTATTATTTAAAAAAAAATTATAATAGCGACCAAAAAGCAGGGTTGGAACACTAACATAATTAAAAAAAATTACGATTGTTGTTACTTAATTAGCAAATACAGGGTTGGGTAGTTAAATATTACTCTCAGTGATTCCTAACCTAGTTTCCTTGTCGCTTCTGTGATTTTTAGGTAAAGTTACCTGTCATGATTGAATTGTTCTAGCTAATTTTTCTCTCTCTTAACTGGATAATACAGGGTTGGGTAGTAAAAAGTTACTTCCATTAATTCCTAAACTTGTTATCTTGTTTTCCGGGGACTTTTATCTGAAATTACACACCAGGGTTAGGGAACTCTAGTTAATTTCTTTTCCCAACTGAATAATACAAGGATGGGTAGTAAAAAAATCTTCATTTAGAGATAAACAACTTCTCAACCTTGCTTCAATTAACATTCTAGTACTTTTTTTGTACTAAATTTAAAAAGCAGGGTTGGCTAGCTACAAAACTGGCATACCCGTTTGGTAAAATGAATGCAAAAATTACTATTTTAAAACAGAAAAATATATCGGAAGTATTTTTTACCTGCCCAACTCTGCATTTTCAAGTTGTATATCGCTAAAAGTAGCTTTTTACTACCAAACCCTGTATTATTCAGTTGGAAAAAGAAATTAACTGGAACAATCCAACCCTGATGGGTAGTTTTAGGCAATTATCACAGGAGCGACAGGGAAACTAGATTAGGAATCACTGGGTGTATTTTTTTACTACCCAACTTTACATTGGATTATTAGGAAAAAATGTTAACTAGACTGATCCAACACTGCTATGGAATTTTACTCAAAAATCCTAAAATTGAAAAGGAAACAAGTTTAGGAATCATTGGTAGTAGTTTTTACTACCCAACCCTGCACTCTTAAGGGTTTATTTCCATTATCTCTACTCGTCAAAATTCCGACTCGACATTTGTCATTATTCTCGTCAACTACCGCCCACTGCTGTAGTAAAAATTTAGTAACTTTTTTTGTTAAAATTTAAAGTTACTATAAAGTTACTAAAATTTTCACAAAAGCAGGGTTGGGTAGCTACAAAACTAGCTTGTTTGATAAAATTAATCCAAAAATAATAATAATAAAAAATTATTTTTTTGTAACGTAAAATACGTTAATCCAATATGTTTTAATTATCAAAATTATTAACTCGAAATATAAAACATTTACTTAATTCAGTAAATTTCTGTCTAGACTTTATCTTAATATTTTACAATTACAATATTAAGTCAATTCGACTAGGAAAAAAAATTCTTTTTTTCACCAAAAAAAAAAAAAAATTCTCTCCTTTAATTTTGTGTCAATACAAGGTCGCTAATTTGAAACTCGAAGAATGACTGACTGCAGTCATACTCACGATATAACGAATGTATG